TTTTTAAGTAAATGAGCAGACGAATTGAATTTAAATTCTAGTTTATTGCTGAGAATTTAAAGCTTACTATGTCAAATTTGAGAGTTAAATTTTAAATAGATTCATATTTTACGTCGAAATATTTTTTTCTGGTTTGTTTGTTGCTTTGCTTTGCTTTTTTGTCTTACGGCTTTTTTTCTCGTTTGTTTGTTTTTGCTGTTTTGACTTTATTCAAGAGATTACGAGACAGTTTATGTTCTCCGACTTTATTAAAGTAACACTGAACGTATTTAGGCGTCACGCCTCCCAAACGGATATCGCTGACAATACAACTTTCAGGACGACAGAGAACTTTTCACACCAGGTGTTCTTTGCCCATCTCCTACTCCTAATTCCCTAATGCACTTTTCCTCGTCGAAACTAAATAACACTTTATTGAGCTTTAATGTACCTTCTAACTTTGAACTTATATGTAGCTTTTATGTAGATCAAAAGGTTTCTCAAGCCGAAAGGTTACCTTCAACTTCATAGCCTATTCCAAGTTCAATTGATTTCATCCCCAGTCCCTCGCACTGTAAAGTGGTGGTGGGGGGGGGGGGGGGGGATGGGGGTGGGCGCAGTAAAGGAAACAACTGCGATAATCAAATATACAAAACACAGAGGTCATATAATTACAAGGCTGATCTCCCGCCAAGCTATTTTCTTTCCCACTCGTTTTTCTTTCCCGCGCAGCAACTCTGAAAGCAAATGAGTTTTCTTGAGCTTTGTTGCATTCTTTTCCACAAAAAACTTCAGAGTATCAGCAATGTTCTCCAATACAAAATCATGAAGTATATTCCTATAAATTTGTATATCATACTCGTGCTAAGTAATCTACATTACTGATTTATTACTATACATAAGACTAACTATGAAAACTCTGATTGGTCGAGAGCATACAGTCACTATACCATAGCGTGTGAAGTTGAAATAACCCAACGGTTGCCGAACGTTTACATTTTTCGGTACATCACACCGTGCTAAATTAAGGCATCGTACCAATTATGTAAACAGATTACGAGCAGTCTGTACTTTGTGACGAGGTCCTTCACGCGGGTCAAAGAAAGAAGTCGGAAAAAAAATGATGTAAGCGCGCCGCGGGGAAGTCTGGAAGTGAGGCTCTCGAAAAAAATAAGGCACCGATTTATCCTATATAAAAACTTACCCTAGGAAACTCCGAAAGTAACTAATTCACTAACTTAATACATTCTTCTTAAAATAACAATTCGTAAAAGTTCTATGAGCGCTGTACTTAGTCTGTTAAATGCACTTTAAAGTGAGACGTAAAATGAAGACGATTTCTAAGCAATGATTACTTTGATTGTGCCATCTTTAAAACGAGGTATTACTGAAATGCGTCCCTCAGTGGTTACTGCAATCCTTTCCAGCCAAAGAATCTTTTTTTCTTGGATGAGAGTTCGGCAAGAAAACTCACCGTGTTTAGTGTACTGTACTGGTACTGTACTGTGTACTAGATTTCTTCATGTGAAAGAATGCTCCCTCGTGAGTAATACCAGCCGCTACGACTTTTTGACTTACCCTGTGAAATGCAACTGTTCGGAAATCGTATGATCCATGAAGATCAAACTTGATCAGATAGTCACCGTGCTCGTTGAATATATGTACACAGTCCAAAGGAAATATGTCAAATACACAAAATACAGCAGTGATGTCAGTCGCTTTCCTGAATATTTGTTCTACAAAACTGCAATGGACCGTCCATTAGTCTCGTATACGTCTTCATTATGGTAGCTGTCTCTATCCAAGTCGCTCCGCATTACCATCACTCTTCCACTATCACTGATTGACAGTTTACACAGATAGTAAGAGTCGTTTGGGCTCACGCGAAACCTTTGATATTGGTCAGCGGTTTCTTTTTTACTTTAAAACCCAAAGCCAAGTTCTCATGACCAAAATTTTAACAAACATATAAATGTTGCCGTTTAAATCTGTGGTCAATTGACCGGCCAATGAGTAAGCGATGCTTCTTCACCACTGTCATCAACAACAAAAGGAAAAAAACTGACGTTGCACAAACTTATCCCTGTTGTTAGAGCGATTAAGGAATTGTGGGTTGTGTGTGGATTTATATGTAGAAACTGTGGTGCTGCGTTGGTGGGAATATGGTGACGAGCAGGTAAAATTAGTTTAACAACGGGGTGAAAAGCGTAAATTGATTCCGTAATTAAGCACCGATTTGGAATATAAATTTTTGTTCTAGTGTTTTACGGCTTTCCGACGACTGCCTTGATGTAAGGAAAGGCCGCAAACTGCCATATGCTGTTTAGAATGATAAGGAAGATTAAAGTGTCTAGCGACTGGTTTGGATGCGTCCTTGTCATTTAATTTCCACATCATTCTCGGAATCGGTCATAGTCGTCTTCCTGTTACGCCGATGTATAACTTATTGCAATAAGTGCAAGTTATGCAGAAATAACATTGGCGGAAAACACTAAAGTGATCAAAAATCTTAATGGATTTTTGGGTCCAATATTTTCTTAACGTTATGAATGAAAGGAATCAACGAGCGCATTTAAAAGTTCATTGGTCATTGGTTTGACTGAATTTAAAAAGTTCCTATGTTTTTGTCACGTTTGAATGAAACCAATGGCGTAGCTCCAGTCTTTCTTTTGGATAAAAATTTTTACACAATGATAGATTTAACTGCGTGGTTGTGACGAAATGTAAGGCTAAATGGAAACGTCAGCTTCTCCTTCTCGGCCGTTCGGTTATCGTCTGTCGACCGATTTGTTGGGCTCGTGTTGGTAGCGATCTTCGACAGAAACAGGATAGCCGCGTTTATCGAAAAACTGTACATTGCCTCTGATTTTCAAAAAATCAGAGTCGTCAACTACATAAAGTGAAGTCTGATACAATTTTAAAAGGTATGGAGTTCTTGACCTGTGATGGATGTGAGATGAATACAGCAAGTAACTATGTGACCATGTAGGTTTGTAGCCAACACTGTTCGAGGAAGGTTGCCTTCAATTGAAATTTTCATGTCAAAAAGCCAAAGAAGTCTATTAGGTATATTATATGAAGGTTAAAGAATGCAGGGTGAAACGAGTAGAAAGTGTGAGTGATACAAGTATCATTAAACGCTTCCTCGCTCCATTCCTTGACTACAAAGGGCTTCAACAACTATTCTCTCACGCAGAAATCAACCTTCCTCTCTTCAATATCAATTACCCATAGGCCAGTTGTGGCAGTGCTTCTTTGCCGGAAACTGTTTGGTACGGCTTAGCTATAAATTTTACACTTGCACCGAAAGGCTACAGACACCACTTTTGAGTGTCTTATTCCCATTGAAAAAAGACAAATCACAAACACACCCACATACAAAAATTTAAAATTGTAGTTAACAAGCTTTTTCCTTAACTCAAAGTCTTCACATCCTGCTGCTAAATCACTTCGTTGGCCGGGACACTAGCTGAACCCAGGCCTCCCTCCTTACTTAGAACGCAAAACGAGTGGTGTTATAAGCCTTTTGCATTCGAACCATCAAGCACCGCGCACAGCGTTTCCCGCTTTAAGCCGCAGAGCAGTGGGCAAACAACGGACAAATTGACAAGGGCTGAACTATTTGAATCGGTTTTTATTCATCCTTCCTTAAGAATTATTCTGACGCGACAATTGTCCTAAATAAAATGGATAACTCAAGAAGAAAATCTCAAGTGGAAAGCCCATTTTACATGTAAATTCCCAACCTCGCGTCTAAACCGACGGTCACTTTTTCAGACAACCAAAAATAGATTTTTGAAAACAATTAAATTCATAGACTTGTTTTCGTTTGCGTCTTCCTAAAGCCCGGTAAAACATTCCACGATGGAAATAAAAACCATTTCCCATTAACTCATACGTAAAACTAAACCGGTAAAAATTATCTGATTTGAATTCCTCAAGCATTGCTATCCCGTTAGATTCCGTACAGGATTCGGACGTCTACGGCAAATTCTCGGAGAAGCTTCGCAAGTTAGAAATGTTACAGTTCTTGGCATGAGCGACTGAAAAGAAAAAACTGTACAAGGACTAAGAAGTAAACAAAATTTGCCCCAGTTGAAACAAATTTGGGCTTAAAAACTATCAGTGCTTCCACAGTTTTTTGCTGATTACAAAAAGCCTAAAATGAGTAACGAAAGAGTGACATCTTTTCAAATCTAAGTGGCCTTGTTCCAAACATAAGCATTGGTGGGCAAAACAGTATTTTTCAAATAAAAAATAAACTAACTTGAACTAAGAAGTAGGAGAGCGTACAAGTTGCTTAACATGTACTTTTATCAGAGAACACCAGTTTCGTAAAATCTTCGTCAAATACGAGAATTTCCCGTAGTCATATCACGAAGCTTGTGTCACATTTTCAATGCATCGAAACCTGAATTGAAAACGTGGGAACAAATGTCGTACCTTACCACCAAAGTTAGGTTTCGGGTGAAAAATGTTGCCTTGAACAATTTTCCTTCTTATGGACGACGGTGCTTTGTTTCCCTTTCAATCGTAAATAAGGAGCAACCCAGTAAAAATTTAGAATAAAAGACAATCGCCTAAATTCAGACGAGAGTAAAAATTGGATTGCTCAACCCTCAGGAAAATAAAATAAGATTGAATAAAATTATATACAATTGACGAAATTAAAATATGTGAATTGAAAGTATTCGAAACTACATCGGTTCGCTACTATAAATCTCGCTCCATTAAAACCAATGGGTGTTTAAATATGACTAAAACGTACACAAAATAAGACTTCATTTTGTTTTAAAAACTATTTTGCATGCCTCAAAGTTTCCCAACCCAAATTTCCCTCAACCGTACCGACGACTCCTAAGTAAACGTAAACCCTTGAATGTAAGAAACTCATATACATTTGTAATCCCAAAGGGCATACTGTTATCCCAGGGATATACGCTCTTCTATCCCTTGCCTACAATCAAGAAAGCTATACTCATATTCAGGGCGTGGCTCACAAAGTGCCCTCCCCTCCCCCCCCAATCTGTGTATCCCCACAGATGAAAGACATTTGTCCAATATTCTTGAATATGAGTATAGAAATTGCCACGGAGGAATTACAAGGAGTCTTTCCGCGTTAGAGAATCCAAATGGAAACATAAGATTGTCCATAATTTTCTTATCCCACAATTGTTTCCTCCTTTCTGTAAAATTTGTCCTTCTCACCGCTATCTTCAGTCTGCGTCAAGAAATTTACAATGCAACTGTATCACTTCTGCAACACCTGAGCTTAAGTGACACTTTCGATTCGGCGGCAGTCGTGAGCCATAAGTCACGCGTAAAGCAATAGACGAAAAATGATTCACAGTCGTTACGCTACTTGCCCTGTCCTGGGGCAAGTTCACCGAACTTAGGAAGCCGATTGTTTTCTCATCTCCCAAGGACTACCTAAATGGATCAAAAGAAAAAAAAAGATGTGATTAGACGCTGTGTAAATGACACCTGCGCGACACTTGACCCTTTACCTCCCAAGATCTGATTGTTAATTCTCTCCCCTGGCTGTTACACGTTGCCTTGTGAATTGGCCTTGACAATCTGGTGTTAGATCAACGTAGCAAACATCATCCTGATAATTTTGAGTATTTCCGTTACCTGGACTCCAGAGAATGTATTCATATTATAAGCAGTATTACATATTAATCGCTTCTGTGAGTTAAAGTGTTAAGGAGTAGTTGAGTTTGATTTGATCATTCTTACAATCAGAACCATTCCTTGACGATAACGATTCCTGAAGATTGTATTAACAGCACATACTCTCTCTAAACGAATCCCAGACAAATTTCCCTAACACTTCTAACAAAGACATCCTTCTTGGGAACGGCGAACCCTCGCAAAACTCTTGTCGATAAGCTTTGAGGAGTGCGGCGGGGAGTACAGAAGAGAGAAAACATCTTTGGAACTGGGGGAATACTATCATCTCCCCGGTCAGTTCACGCTCAGGAAACCGGAATATGCGGCCGAGGTGTTCTACAGTCCCGGGATTTCAAAAACGTTTTCGTGAGACGGCTGCCGATGGTGTAATACCCGGATTTACCCGGCTGTGAGTCTCCCTCCCGTTTGGGAGAATTCTAGTGGTATGCTCCCCCAGAAGAATGTTTAAAACCTAAAAGCTCGCAAATGTAATTTCCAGAAATTCTAGGCATCAAAAAGAGGGCTAATAATTCATTAACACCTCTGTAATTTGCCTGTCATTCCTAACAGGCAAACCCAATGACAGTATTACCATAACTTTACAGTTCTACCTCGGTAACTCGTGACTTCGAAAGAAAAACAACAGCTTACCATCTGCACTGTTGACTAAGTTCTGAGAAGAAGCAGACCGTCGGTTGGTTCTTTTTAAAGCTGCTATTTCTCCTTCCCGGCCTGAAATCTTCAACGGTGACCTTTGCATAGAGTCCGGCATCGAGGGCAGTTTTCTTCCTGAATTTCCCTCGCCCATCATGTTAAGCCGATCCACGCTAGCTGCAGCGCGCATGTGCGCACTAGAAGAATGAGTGACCGCCCCAGCTGAAGCTGCTGAGCCGCGCCTTCTTTCGTAATCTGGCGAGGAATGGGCGCCATTTAAACTGAAAGAAACAGTGGAAAGCAGTTTTTAATTTAGCAAAATGGAAAAACAAATTACAAAATCTTTCGTTTTCTTATTTGAATTAAACAAAAAAATTTACCAGGAACCCCAGAGGAATAATGAAATTGAAACAACTATGAACTGTCGAGGAACTTGAATCTTATCATGCTAACTCCTCATGATTATGGACAATGGCCGAGGCCAAGTGATTCATTGCAACAACATTTTAGAGATCACTAGTGCCAGTCTCCGCCAACCCACTCCCCGACTAGTCTGAAATCTTCCCGCGGGTACAGAAACGCGCATCCTGCAGGGCTGATGTATGTATGTATTTGATAATGTACATATGAATAGATAGAGTAACAAAGATGGTAACGTTTTACCTAGATCGTGCGATTAAAAAAAAAAAAAAATTTAGACGCCTGAGATTTGATAAAACCGTGCGAATAAAAAGAAAAATGCTTTACCAACTTCATGTTTAATGTTTGGCAACCCTTTTGCTCGCCTGTCGACGCCACTCAAGTTTCTCAAAGGCTTAAAGCATGCGATTTGACCTTACAGTATCATCTCTACAACAAACGTTAAGGTCATGAGAATAAAAGAAATGATCACCAACTAAGGAACCCTTTGATCGTTACACAAATTCTCCTCAACAGAACCATAGGAAAAGTATAAAGAACACCAAGGAGATAATGCATACTGATATTCGAGTGTGAAAGGTTTACGTTCAGTTCTTCAGACTTCAAATATTCGAAGACACAGGGTTTCGTGAAACACTTTTTGAGATTAAACTCAAGTGTGTTCTTAACTTCGCATTTCATTATATCTAGCTAAGCACATCATGTTAGATTCGTTGATCAACCTTTCGGCTGTAAGTTACACAACGGATTGAAAGTAAACTTCATTGTCACACGAAAGCGACAAGGCTGCGTTTGTTTTGGCGCGGTCGGTTTACACTCCGCTTTCCGAATCAGCACACGTTCCTTTCCCGCAAGCCAGGGACGTGACCATATCTCAAACATACAATGTTTTTCTTGCTTTAAAATATCCGGTTTCAGAAAATCCACTCCGCACGCCTCTATACCTTCCCTCGTTTCATTCAAATTGTTTGGACATTTCGATGGTGCAAGGTTCACATTCGCACGGTACATTGTTCCTTCGACGATCTGACTAGCCGCAAAGAGTGTGTACGGAAGATAAACGAACTTGAAAGGTGGTTTAGGCTCTCGCGCGTTCTCCAGCCGTACAGCCTGTTTGAGACCCTCTAAAAGTTCTGTGTGTGCCGATAACTTATCCTGCTCAATGTTTATCATGGCACCAGGTATTGTGGCAGGCTGTACGAAGCGTATAGTCCCAAAAGCAAAGCAAAAAACGAGAAGATGTATTTCAAACACGGCCATCTCGAAGCGTTAAACTCGTTCGAAAATGTATTATTTATAATCTGATCTAAGAAGTGAAATTTCACACTTGATGTGACTAGATAAATGGAGATTACACTTACAATTCTAATACCAGAATGTAGCTCTTGGCAATACGGCCACTAAACAAAAACTACCCTCAACTCCTCAAGAACAAAAGAAACGCTTTCACTCTATTTCACCTCTTAAGCATGCACAGGCAATATTAAAATGTTTTCAAAACCGCAGCAGGAAGGAGCAGGTACATACATGTTAAACACATAAATGTCCCGCCTCTATTGTCTGGTATATCCCGGCGGAAAAATGTAAAACTATGTAACCTGACCAGTTCCATTCCATGATAAAAGCTTCGCCAACAGCTATTCCAAATATCATTCAAATACACTCTTCATATCAAACTTCAACCAGAAATTTTCAAAGTTTTAATTTGACTTTTACATCGGTCTGCCTTGGAACATCATGTTCTCTCTCTCTGGTGCCGGGTTATATACACACGATTTAGGTAGAATGGGTCACATGAGCTTTTGCAGTTTGCTTTCTTCGTTTCTCAGACACTTATATACAAGGGAGATCAAAACTCTATACAAAAAGTTCAAATTAGCGTCAAAAGCCCTTCGAACGACCAGCCCTAAAAACTTAAGCTGTGATACAACCGGTTTTCTTTTCACGACATTCGCTGAGAACAATTGGAACTTTCAAATCGAAACAAAGATAGGAAACCAGCTAAAACGCAAGAAAGGTCACGTGATTCCAAAGCCGGTTGATTCCAATTCCTAATAGCCAATCGCTGAGGCGTAAAATGACTTACCTCGGGCTTCCCTGGGGGAGAGGCCGATTGAGTGACTCCGTGCTCACTGCGTTTCGTATCCTCTTGCTGTACGCCACGATTGGTTCTGAGCCTTTCCCGCCACGAATTACAGGAGTCACTATGGCAGCACCGTTGGGTGAGCTGGGTAAACTCGGTGTACTTGGGCTATTGGGAACGTTAGAACCCATGACTGCTCCACCAGCCAAACGAGTCATTCCTAATAAGGCACTTCCAATTCCCGAGGTGCTGCCGGGACGAACACTGGGTGAGGATGGCTGCTGCCCAGGACGGATTGGTTTGGCTGAAAACGAAAAAATGAGAAACATTTAAAGTCAAGTGTTGACTGGAGCGATTGATGTAACACTTTTAATTTAGCTGTATTCATTGAAATACAACTGGTTTTCTTTTCACGACTTCCGCTGAGAACAATGGATCCAGATCGAAACGAAGATAGGAAACCAGCTAAAACACGAGAAAGGTCACGTGATTCCAAAGTCGGTTGTTTCGGATTCCTAACAATTAATTTATTAATGCAGACACACGGCAACATGGATTCTATTTGTTCAATCAAATTGAAGCATTTTTAATCGAACGCTAAAAGGTAACCAAGGTATCTAAGGTAACCAAGGTATCCAAGGTAACCAAGGTATCCAAGGTATCCAGGGTAACCAAAGTATCCAAGGTAACCAAGGTATCCAAGGTATCCAAGGTACCCAAAGTAACCAAGGTAACCTAGATAACCTAGATATCCAAGGTATCCAAGGTAACCAATAAGGAAAGCGTAGTGGTAAAACACAACGTTAGACAATACTTCACAATGGAGTTACCATGAAAACTAAATTTCCAAAGCTCACGTGTTTATAATTTTTCGCTCATTTAAATCGCATATCCCAATTCCCTTTCTCGTCCACGATTCGTGAGTTCACTAAACAGAGAAATTTTGAATTGAGTTTTTCTGTAACCAAAACCAAGGCCAATCAGGAAAAAAGGGAATGTCACAATGAATCAAAGAGAACGTCACGTAAATGCATATGGCCCACCGCAAACACAGGAAAACGCGCGTGATAAAGTAGGATTGGTTTTAGTTTTGCGCTCACAGAGCAAACTGAAGCAAAACCAATACAGTTCCATATTTGTTTTCATCTTTAACATTCCATCGAGAAGTTCCTTGTACTCCAGAATTTATCAATAAATTGTTCAAGCGCAGGAGATTTTCTTTATTCTAACTCTTACCAATATGTCCCTGGGCGCCTTTCCGCACAGCGGCCTGCTTCTGTCTCATAGATTCCCGGATTCTCTCCACCTCCTTCTGGTATCGTGCCCGGTCCCTCTGCGCACCTTCCTTGGCCTCTTTGAGAGCCTGCTCTAATGACTTCACCCGCTCTTGTGTTGCTCGCAGGCGCTTCTCCAGTTTGGGTAATTCACACCTCAGGTCAGCATTATCTCTAACGAGCTGTTAATGACAAGAGACACTAATTACTTACGTGGTATAAACTAACCCAGAATATCCCAATCAGGTAAAAGAGCTTCTAACTCTGTTTATTATGATTCACTCGGGCCTATATAAGAAAATCAGACACATATTAGCACAATATTATCGCTAACATCGCTACGAGGTATGCGACCAATATTGAATCTATATAAAAGCGAGCCATGGCAGTTCTTGTTACAAAATGTTCAACTCGTTTCGAGCGAAAGTTGCAGAACACCTTTATGATAACTGAACAGATTGTCTTCGTGTAATGGCTCAGAAAATTGAAGATAGAGTTAATACGCACCTTTTCGTGGGTTGAAATTTACGTTTGTAGAAGAAGGGGAAACGCAGCAAAATTCAACACCGCAATCAAGTTAAATTGCAAAAGGTCTATACACTCTCATTATGTATGACTTCACAGAAACTTACGTGTTAAGAACACTTTGTTCAGCGGCTATTTCTATGGGGTATGCGTCCTCGCTAAAGATTTTCAAATTTCATTCTTCGAAGCTGTCTTTTTTAGCCAATGCTTAGCGGTGATGAAGTTTCCAAAAGAAAACGATAGCATTCTTTTCATTTTTATTGAAAATTTCCCTTCTTTTTAATACATGATCTATATCAAAGTACTTACTTAGTGTTAAATATTTCGAAAAAATTCTTATCGACACGACATGGCCCAAGTAAAAAAAATTGACCGAATTTCAACAGGCTTCTTTTTTAAATACGATGTCCCTTTACAATAAGTATAACAACAAATGAAATTTCCAAATAAAAGACTTTATAAAACGATAGTGAAGGCAGACGCATGTAATTACATTGACGGACGATCTGTAAAGATTACACATCAGAGGATAAATTATATTGACCTCGAACAAGCGTACTTATTAATGTTGTCTCGTTTCACTAAACATCACGTCGCAAATAGTTAAATTAATAAACCCAACAGTAGCCTTTCAGTTCACAGAATTGAATAATAAAAATATTCAAATCTCGACAAATATCGTGAAAATTTGAAGGATCAATTTACCTTGTTTCTGGTAAAGTTAGAAATAAATTAGTTTTAAATGCTTCCTTGTGGCGAAATAAAGTACCTCTTGTTATCGAATTGTTATTAATTTTCTCCCCCGTTCTTTTTAATTCCATTTTTAATCCCTCCAAAACCCCTTAGGAAATCGGTAACCCGACATTTTAGACAATTTCAATACACAAATAATTTTGATTGTAAAAGTAATGCCCAAATTTCCAAGAAAAGGACGACGGGAAGTCCCTGCCTCTCAAATGACGTATCGAATATATCAAAATCTCCAGAACTGATCGATTCTAACAAGCATAGGAAAGAAACTCGATCTGTTGCTTTAACATCTTCACTCTCTGTAAGGCTTTCCGCTGTTTGGAATAAAAAATTTAGGAATTAACAATTGCAACAACTCTGAGCCACAAACAAAGACGGTTATGATCCATGAAACCTTTGCGCTTATCTACTTAGTGTAAGTGCAATATGATATCTACAAGTACGTGCTGGCGGCTCAAACTGACTCGACATTTGCGGCTGTTGAAAAGAATTTCGCGGAAATTTAGAACAATTTAACAGAATCAATACAAGCTGTGTACTTTGACTTGCTTGAAACTTGAACCCTAAAATCAGTATGCATTTTCTCCGTACTGTTTTCTATCGATCTCTTAAGGTGCTGACAAGGAGAATTTGTTTCATAATCAAGAGCTTCTTTGGCCAAGGCTCCGCATTTCCTTTATTGTCGTGTGATTCAGGGGCGATATTTGAAGGCGAAATTACAAGTTAGTCGCCTGTAAGGGTCATTGATTTGAATCACTTTTGAGTCTCATCCACGGCTTGAGACACCAATCTATCTCTCGAAGGCTCTGTTGGTGGGCTCTGACGAAGGGCTGACGCTCGAAACGTTAGCTATAAAATCTTCTTACAGTGGCCAATTTACATTATCAACTCAGTTGATGAAAACAAAGTAACGTATCTCTGACGACTAACTTGAAAAAAATGAAAAGGAAAAACACATTGAACTCTGCCACTGAAACCACATAACATGCCCGCATTTGCGCTTAACAGGTTGTCTACCGCAGTTTCTGCAATTAGATGAATCACGCAGGCACATGAATTGCTTCTAACTTATGATCTATCAGAGGAGAGACGCATAGATAACCGTTTTATTAAACAAATAGACTCCATGTTGCCGTGGGCTTGCCCGTATCACATTACGAGACGCTAGAACGTGTAATGAATATCAGAGCTAGGTCTCGTGTGCCACTATTTTTTACTCTTAAAACACTTTGACGTCATATGTGATCTACCACTGAACAGACGCACCGCACCATGGAATCCATTTGTTAGGTAGATGATAACTTTGTCGTCAAAGTCTCCTTCATTAGTCCTCTAAACCAAAAACTGACACACTAGTTTTTTTCGCGAGATCTCTCAGAGGAAAGTTGTCCACGAAAACTTTTGCAGGTGTAAATAACTTGCTGGGACACGTACAAGAAATTAAAACGGGCTTAGGGAAAACTCCAATTCAGTAAGTTACCCTTTACAAGTGTCTTCGACATCCTTTTGTTGTTGCTGTCCGCGGCCAAGAATTTTTTTGGCAAAGTGGATTTTTCAAAGGAAATTTCTCCGTATCAGTAAAGCTTTAACTGATTCAGACGTTGTGAATGCCGTGCAAAAAGGACCTTTGTGGGAAACTTGCTCACAATTTCAAAATATACTTTACGCAGCTTTCGGCCAAAACAGCAAATCACTAACAGGAACGAGATGAAATACCATACTCTCACAACGTGTTGAAGACAACATACAGCGATGTAATAAAGAGAATTTATGTTTCAAACGAAAGGCAGCAGTACTCACTTGTTTATGGACCTTCGTTAGCTGGTCCAAATTATTCTCTAAAAAAGCAATCTTCTGTTTTTGTGCTTGGCTTCCTCCTTCTTCCTCTGAGTCAGTATCCGAGTTGGTCTGGGAAAGAGGAATCAGCAATGAGTTAGTCAACGAATAAAAGATCTACAGATTCACGTGTTTGACACGCGCACGGCATGAACAGCACTGAAATGAGATGACGATATGTTGTAGGCTGACGTGACAGATTGTGTCGGAAAGGGGGGGGGGGGGAGGGAGAGAGATGGGTGGGTGGGGTTAGAAATGCTCCTTGTCGCTTATGCCTCAGGAAACTGGGATATTCTCCGAGTGTACATGTTACTTGGATCATGTGCATAACTTTCTTTGATTGAAATAACTTACCACTTTTAATCGGGCCTGCAAATCTTTGACGAATAACTGCCGCAGTCGATACAGCGTCGCCAACTCTTTGTGCTGAAAGCAATATTTATTTAGTTAACATGAGTGTCTGCATTAGACCACTGTCGTGGTATTTGTAGTTAAGATCCTTCCACAGATTACGAATGACAACGTTGCTAAACCATGTTAAGAAAAGACCACTTTGAGTATAAGGGTCGTAATTTTTAAGTGGCGTTAGTGTCGAGAAGGACAAGTTGCCTAACTCCATTTTCTCCACCAAGAATCATCCTTCGCCATAAGAGGTTTAGTACCAGCCTCAATTACTACGACTTATAATCAAGAATGCAACTGCCATATATACTTTTAAATGAAAACAATCATTCGAGATATTTCTAACTTGGTTGTTTTGGGAATTGCTTTATTCAATTCGATAAGTTCCAAGTTTTCCATGACCCATGTGAACCCTGAGGTACTTTCGTCGTTATCTTGCAAGTAGTGACTTGCGATAAGTAATGACTTAAAACACTCTCTTCAAAACAAGCTGTGTGTCAGAAAATACAATGAAAAGATCGTAGTACAGATTACTAATCAGGGGTTTCAATAACTTTTTCCATAAGCCGCGGCCAATCGTGTACTAGGCGGTTGTGCCCGGAAAAGGGCTTAAAGGCAAAAACCAAACACAAGAGCCTGCTCGTAGGCTAAACAGACGGAGATAAGAGGTCTTTTAAGCGGTAGTAGACCAGCAGTCACCAGCTTTTATCGAAACCCCTGCATAACATATTACGCATGCGTTCTTGTCTTCATGAATGCACATACCACAGTCTCCTCAAGTCCTTTGAGGTCTTTCTTGGCCTGTTCTCTTTTCTCTGCTTGGATGCTGAGGAACAAAACTTTACATTAAAAAAACCCTCAAAGAAAGTACATCACGATATTAAGAGTTGCTTCTGGACTGCCAGAAAAATCTACGATGAGCTACGTAGGGCACTAGTAGGTTCATTTGTGGCATGCGTCCTGCGTACCACTAGGATCAACAATGTCAAAATATTTTTGCGACTAGATAGAATAAGAAAGATGGAAAATTTTGAGCTTTCTCGTGAAATAAATTACTTTAAGAGTATATCCAATAAGGAGTTTTCAAGAACAGGTAATCATCTAAAGTATTTCTCTCTTACAAAAATACACCTCGTTTCAAATACTCACCTCATTTCGGCCAATCGGCTAGATTTCTCCTCAAGTTCTCGTTTCAGAGCTTCATTTTCAAGCTGAAGTTTAAAAAAATATGAACATCAGCGACAACAATGGTAGCAAAGTTAAAGTGCATCACAAAGTCCATAAATTTTCGATGAATAGTAGAAATAACCAAACATGGTAATTCAGGACAGAGCGATTCATACAGTCATGAAGTACTGACCATAAGGTGATCTCTCTCCAAACCTTGCTTCTGATTGGTCCTGAGAAAAAAAGCAAAGGTTTGATCGTTAGATAACGGTGGAAGCATCAGTAGTGGGTCTCAGAGAGGTTTCATGGGGTATATATGAAATACACGTCAGAATTTGCCATGGTAACAGGACATCAACCAAAAAAGTGACCGCAAACTCAACAAGTAAATTCAACCACTTCTTATATGTTCACTTCAAAAACAAAACCAAAAGAAACGAACCAATAAATAGATGGCAAGGTTATCTTAGAAACCGATAGGCGACGAATCTTGTGAATTGAGATCAAGGACAGGAAACGTCTTTTTGGATTGATTCTTCCATCAATGCCTGGCCAATTAAAGTTACTCAAACATGTCCCAGAATGCTAGAAATAAACGTCTCCGAGAGTTTCAAATTACAAATTTTCCAGGGGGGGGGGGGGGGGGGGAGGAGAAACATGCCCCTGAACCCCTGATAAGGGCAACATGGACAAGCACTTGCTTTGCAACAAGCCACCCTTTCAACAGCCTACTCAGTTCATATTATACATCTACTTCATTTTCTAATGACAACCTGAGATTCCTTTACAGAAATTAGTGCCATCGCCGATCGTTACATGAAATGACCGGAAAATACAAAAGCAGCCGGTTAATTCTTAAATATGATTGGCTGAAAGCGTAGCATAGTAGTAAGCGAGGGTGGCTATCTCTGATTGGCTTTGAGGAGTTCACCCTCAACTTCACACATCTTTAGTCGGATTATAGCTTGTTTCAGGCGTTCAGTTGGTAAAACGAAGTGATATAATAAACGGCGCGATGGTAGCAGCGGAGCGAAAAAGCGAGGAGGTTTGGGTCGGGCTGTGCGACTCGACTCAAGTCTCCCTCGTTTTTCCACTCCTCCGCTACAATTGTGCCGTTTAGTATCGCGCTTCGTTTTATTCTCTGAACGCCTGGAACACGCTCGTGGAATTACAATCGAACGAACTTCTTATCGTAAGTTGTCATTTAACAAACTTACTCCTTGATTGATGCAATAGTAGCCTGCTGTAATTCAATCTCATCTCTGAGAGTCGACAACTGTTTCTGGTGTGCCTCTCGATGACTAATCATTTGCTTCTCCAGTGCAGACTGCAACGAGACACAAACACCACTATGTCTTTAAACTAGAGAGAACTATACAAAAACAGACCGCACTTTCTATCGTTTACTGACCGGCTCGTGTTTTACAAACTCCTTTCGTGTTCTCCCAGCATCGCAGGTGGGTTATTACGCCGGTAAACCAATAGAAATTACGATCTATTGCTTTTATAACACAAAGTTTAATTCTCTATGGGTTTACCTGTGCAATTAAAGGACAGGTTTTTGACAAATCAGGACACTAGCTGTCTCACATTTATTTCATTAAAAAAACAAAACAAAAAAAAAACGATAAGCACCGAGTGCTTTAAACTCAGGAAATTCCCCAGCTCATCGATCTGTGATAACTTACACACTAGAAATGAATTCTCCGAAATTAAACTAAGACTTTAAAAATGAAGCGTAGAAAACTGACTTCAGGTAGTACTGTACGCTGTAAATAATGTAAGTGTCGAGCAAGGTCTATTTGTTAAAACTTTATGAAAGCAGAAAAATACTGCAATACATGTAGAGTAGGTAATGTTTGGCACCACTCGCTCATTTGTAAATGCAAGAGGGTCTTCTACAGCCATGTAACGCTACTGTTGTAATATAAATTTTACGTGACATATTGAAGCGCGATGTAGTGTTAATGTCGAAATATTGTGCTCAATGATATTTGTTTCTTGAATTTGAAAAAGAAAAAACAAGAATACAAATAACTAACAAAATCCTTGAAGTGTAAAGCAGTTTGCACGGGGAAAAAAAATTCAAAAATCACGAAGAACCTACATTGGAGCTCTGCATACCGACAGAACAGAAGTTACGTGACCTATTATCTGTTTAAATCAATTCTAATCTTCAGCAATAATTCTTCTCTAGACCCAATAACACCGTTTAAGGATCCGCCAAGGCTTCAACCCTTTCCTTCGGCAGCACCACATTTTGAAACCGTTGCGAGTCTAAATCGCGTGTGAGGCAACAATACTTTAATTCCGGGTTGTATTAATATTTACCACCTGCTAGGATTAACGGAATTGGAAGGTCCTTCCCCACATTGGAAACCTCAACGAAGACAAAATAATTTCCAGAATCGTCACAAATTTTAGATTATATTTTAACCGAGAAACTTCTAGTAATCTGTCTTTGTTTATAAAATTTTCAGTAGAGACTATTTATAAACCAATGAATCACTCTGTCAAAAACCCGCCGACCAGGTTAGAGATTACGATTTGAAAAACACAATCAAATACAAAACAAAAAGATTTTTCTTTAAAGATCAGCCACATGAGCACGATAAAAAGTTATTAGGCAATAGGAACTAAATCAATCGGCTCATAACAAATCGAGAATGTGCCAAATCATCACAGCCACCGTAACGTTTACTTACAAATCACTTTCTGGGCGTGTGTAGAAAGTAGATACAAAAACTGTTATGCAGAGAAAGGTTTCTGCGAGAACACTTGAAAACCCACAAATACTGAATGTTAACGACTTAATCTTCCAATCCCAATCGAGGTTTCAAAATAAACTTATCATCAAGTATTTTCATTAAAATCTAGTCGGGCTAATTAACTACTTCTCTCCGAACTGACTACCAAATTGAAATCCAAACAGTGGATTGTTCAAAAACGAAAACAAATCTTTTAGAACTATGTTTTGGAAGAAGAAAAAAGAAGGAAAACGATAACATCTTTTTTTTTCTGAAGAAAAAAACCAAATGTGCGTTTGTTTTAAAAAAAAAACGCAAATTGAAAACAAAATGCTCGACAAGAAATATTCAAATTTGAGAAACTTTCTGTTCGTGAGTGATCAAAATTAGATTTTTCACTGTAACTTCTAAAACCACTGACATCAATAATTCAAAACAAGGCCTTAAACGGCTAAAATCTGCCGTGATGCAATTTTTCTTTTATACACAAAGAGAATTGTGGCATCCAATTGCCCTTTAATGGCTCACATACATTGTTTCAGTTGTGCGACTTGAAAGCTCGGGTATAACCCAACTTTCACTGTCGCCTCGCACAAAAAAGAAACGACATACAAATTTATTTTATATACAAACCCTGGGCTTTGCGTTCTGAAGCACTTCGTCAATAACATTGTTTAACGAGTCTAGGACACAATCAATTGAGGATTCACTGCAATCGGAAAATCGCCAACCACAGTTCTTGTTTGTAAAACCAACGCCAGAGTATTGAATGTGTTTGCCCATGTCATCGATCTAACATCACGTGAAACCACGCAGGATCACGAAGAATTTATATCACATTTTGCACGAAACACTAGGCGCCTCTTTTTGCGCTAACATCGACGCAAGTTTTCTGCATTAAATGCGGCAAATTGCGTGTTGTGTTTTGACAAATCTGCGAGGAGAGTGAAATGACATCATTTGCAAGTCAAATCATCAGTGCAGGCGTTTTTAAACAACAGACATATCAAGCACATTGTTTAGCTGAAAGGTCATTTTTCAAAATGCGTTGAAATACAGAAATTCAAGGCCATAACCCTCAAATGGGTCAACCTTTTATTCTTAAGTGACATATCGCCAAATGCTGACTAATACTGATTATTGAACGCTCTTTAAAATACACAATCCAAAGAAAAACAGAGCAACATCAAAGCACAAACAACGTCGCAGTTTTTCTTGAAAAAAGAAAAAAGAACTACAAAAAAACTTGGTGCACCTTGTGAAACAAACCACAGAATTCATGTTCAACGTTTTTAACAAGACCGGATTGTTTACCTATAACGTGTCGCCAAACTATCGCTAGCCGAAGGCAAAATTTCATTGGGAAAAAAACCAGCCACTTCAAGATAAACCCATTTTAACGTATAAACCATTCATTCTCAGAGAGAAAAGTCAGAGAAAATTTCTTGAAAATGCGGAAGATGCTCAATAATGCACGATAAACTCATCTGCTAAAAGCTTCTCAGGTCTCAATGAAGATTAATGGGAAAAAGTGTGCACAATTTTCCTTCGAATTCCTTTTAACATAATGCACAAGTTTCACAAATAATACTTAAGGCAGCGAATTAAAAAATAATTTCAATAAGTTTAAGAAAAAGTTAAGGTTAAAAACGAAAACAAAAGGTGATTACTTAAAAAAAACCACTTTGCTTATTACCCAAAATAGCAACCAGAATTCATCTAATTCTATCTATGCAAGATGCATCAAAAATTTGCCCTTGTCACTTCAACAGTACTTTTGCTGACAAGTTGCTCTTAAACGTCGCGTGATTTTCAGTGTGAAATGTTTCAGGTATATAGGGCGAGCGGGAAAAAAACTTATTGGCGTTTTAAGAAAAAAAAGGAAAAAAGAAAGAGAGAAATAGAAGAAAAAGAAAAAAAAGAAAAAAAAGGAACAGCTCTGCTCTCTTATCTTTGGTATTGTCAGGTCATTTGCCGTGTTTCGCCTGGTTGGCCAGTTCTTGGTGAACGACCCTTCTAAGAGGAGAGGGAGATGTCTTGCGGCCAGTTCCGAAAGCGGGAAAAAGCACGCGATATGAATTACACGATTGGTCGAGAGCAAAAAGAACTCACTGGATTGGTTTGTTTATGAAAAGTACGGGAAATATGTTAGTGCTGGTTGTGAACGCGGTAAAAGGCGAGACACCTGATTGGCCGAAAATACAAAGCCTTATTCTGATTGGCTCCTTGATGCTTTAATCCTCCTAGATCGCCTAGATCGATATGTGAGTGATTACATGTCATTAATACAGCAATCTTTTAGAGTAATACCTGAATTTCACCCGCTGTGTGAAGCAAGCCTGCGTGCTCCTCCTCTTTGTCTTTCAAAGCCAGAGCGTGCATCTGAGCTGTAAAACAATTGAAATATTTGTGTAAGAAATCATTCAGTCACCCGGCCATCGCTTTGTCACAAGTCACGAAACGGTAACGAAAGCCTGTTGAAGAAGGTTGACACACAACTTCGCAGGAAATAATAAAGTAATTTACAAAAAATGTAACAAGAGAACACGGAGATACGTCGTTTTACACCGCGTTTCCATTCCTGTATATTTCTTCGTTGCACTTAAAACCCTATTAGCTTATTCAAGCGCATACGCTTACCGAAAAAAAGTTATGTATTTTCCATGTTATTCGGGCCGTAGCTTTCATCGATCACTTGTGTGAAGGAAGGTCCCGTAAGACAAGTTATTTCCCTGAATATAATCCACTGTTTACAAGTTTAATTTCCTGAGATGTTTTACATCTAATGGTAGGAATGCCAATTCTGAGAACAGTCTAATCGGTTATTTCTTCATGAACCAATCCACGAGACGCATTTGGTCACGTGTATAAGCTTTCATATCACTCGTAATTGGGACAGCCACTCAGAGTGAGAGATGAATGATCTTAATCTGACAGTCGAATATGAACCAAGAAAAATACACGAACGAATGTTCCACAAAATAAAACTTTCATACCACTCATTGAAAATCATCGGGAATTAAGCTAAAAATCGTTAATGCATTATTCGTGGTGCATCAATTCATGCGCTTAATGTATCGAAACAAGGTCTGCAAATTTGCAGGAGAATCATAACCTTTAAATAGATCAGTCAAAAAAACATTCAGTCTCATATTGCATGTTCGCACACAAGTGTGAGGTATATTGGACTTCTATTATATTTCAGAGGCTTTAAAATTCTTAACCGTTACTTGATAAGTGCCTTTAACTTTTTTTTATTCGTATATTTGTGTTTTATTTTGTTTTTGTTTTTTTTTTACTTTTTCAATGAGTCAACAGACTCTTCGGACAAAAAGCTCAATAACTCAATCAGCCAATAGCTTGTTACAACAAGAAGACTCATTTACTTTTTAGGAATAGTAAAGGTCATGTAACCGATTACCAAAAAATGCGTTCAACATCACGAAGAGATTACATGGAACTTCTCCTCAAAATTTCAATACAATATCCAGCAAAGACGTAATGAGAAGAGAAAAACTCATCAGCGAAAGGATGTTGTCTAGATGCGACACTAATTTCTCTTTACTAATTCGCAAGGAATGTAAAGTAACAATTTTAAGTGGCTGGAAGGGAAAATTCCGAATTACATCTTAGGAGCAAACAATCTTGTACGTTACCTTTTGCCTTTAGTTTGGCTATTTCTTCGTTCAGAGAATCAACGGCTTCTTCCAAGATCCTCTTTTTCGATTCCATCTCCTTCATGTCTGCTTCGAGTGTTTTCATCTTAGCTTCATACTAAAATTAAGAGAAAAAAAAAACAGGCAGGTCAATAAAAGACAAGTTCCTTGTCTCCAGAAAAGCGCTTGTCTGTGGATTGTCGTTAAACCAAAAATCATTTCTACTTAACTGATTAAATAGAGCTCTTTCGATTGAGTATCGTAAAACATTTACCGAACTTACCAGAACAGCCAATCAGAACAAGACAAAAATCACAGGGAGCCAATGAGAGGGCAAACTATGTAAAGTGCGGGAAAACGCTAGCGACCAAGGCGTGATTGATTTTAGTTTTGCCTCTGATTGGTTGAGAAAGTGGCGGTAGTTTTGAGGACCAATCACAGAGCGAAGTAAAGCATAACCGCAGCGATTCGGAATCACTTTCGTCCTTCATTGAAAAATGACTCTATAAGCAAAGTGCCTGAAGGATTACACGTTAGTTTACAGAGATGAAGGAAAAATTCTACTTGGCGGATAGTATGCTTTAATTTCTCAAGTTCGTCTTTGCAATCTGTGTCAATCTTTTCCATTATTAGCTATCCTTCCATCTTCTTGGTTTATAATTGCGTCTCGTGTGTTTTGCCATCTTACAGATCTTGTATTTACTACTCTCCATACAGCTGGATGTCATTTTGCTGGAAAAAGAAACTGATTCAAAATATAATAGTGTACCTGTGATATGAGAAGCAGTGATTGATTGAGTTCTTTGTTCTTTCCATCCAGTGACGACTTTAAATCACTTTCGGTTATCTCTAGGTTACTGGAACGCTACGTAATAAAGACGAAATAAAAACAAATAAACAAATACGAAAAAGCTAAATAAACAATGTAGCAGGCCACAAAACAGCATATTCAAGTAACAGCGTAGATTCCTTTGCCAGAATGGACGGAAATTTAATCTGTCAAGAACGTAGTTGATTGCAATACTTACCACTGAAAGGGTTTTAACCTCCGACTTTATCTTATTCACATACAGACGGGCGACGGTAAAATCTTCGTCCAAATTGCCACTACAATCAATATTCGGTTTCTAAAAAGGAAAGAATCAATCGAATCAAACACAAAATATAGCACAAAATGTAGTACACATACTGTTCGAATCACAGGCAATTAGAGGTTACATGTATATATTGTAACCAGTTCTGACTGATTCATAGCCGCAGGACACCCAAGGGAAAAAAACCAATCAAATCATAAAACTGATGAAAGGCCATGAAATGATAATAAAAAAAAATTGATCCTTGTGTAGTTCAGGGCTCATCTTAATACCTTCATTTCAGCCGCGTTTCCTCCGATAACGTTACCAATTTCGCCCTGGAAGAAGAAAAACAAATAAATCGTTTATTTGTTATGAAGACACCACAAGACGAGACAGTTCCGCACATATCCACCCACCGAAGGTAGCTAAATTCACAACTGAAGTGGAGACCCTCGAAAATCACGACTTTACGAAGTGTCGACGTTAACACTCACCAGATCTGACAACAGGCTGTTCATCATCTCAGCTAGTCTCCTCCTCAAAACAGACGAACTGTCTTTAATTTCTAAAAGTTCCTTGGAGACGTTGTTGAGTTGCATCTGTTAAAAGATATTCATTTCGTTTTTAACATCAATTTTGCATCTCTGGTGTTTAAAGATAGCTAGCACGATGGCCTGAAGGTTAGCACACTGGACTCGTTGAAGAGAGGGTCTGGGTTGGAGACTAAGCAAGGTCAATGTGTTGTGTTCTTGAGCCAGATATTTTCCTCTGACAGTGCCTTTTTTACTTTTTTCAAGTAAATGGTACCAATTTTGATTTGGGAAAAGAGGATTCATTACGAAACTAAAACGACACCTTACAGAATGAACAAAGCGGGAAACATTGCCCAGTGCGGGAAAGATCAACTTGAGACCTGGTTGTTCTACAAACTTGCTAAACGACTTACTCTCAAAACACTGAAGAAAAAGTATTTCCCTCAGAGGGATACATATCCGATGAACAGCGCTATTCACCCTTAGAACAACAGAGGCGTGATACCTAAATACCTAAACTTAGGGGTTCCAATAACCGCAAGGCGAACCCAAACACAGGAGCCTGCTCGCAGACTACACAGACAGTGGTAAGAGGTCTCAAAGGTGGCGGCAGACGCGGGTTACCAGCTTTAATTGAAACCCGTGTAAACTAAAAAAAACACCGAAAACCGAATACTGAATACCGCAACTTAACTGAGGAGCAGATACAGTGAGTGAATATAATAAACTGCCACAACACTCGACCTGTTTCTGGGATACTTCTTCTGACAGTTTCTCGTTGTCCTTTGTTTTGGTCTCAACCTCTTGAAGCTTCTGATCATAATTCACCGCCAGCTCCTCCAGAGCTTGCAGCACTTCTTTGACTTCAGTCTTTGATGTCTCGCTCTCAGTCTGCATGGAAGAGATCTGCGACTGGAGCTTTTCGCTGTCAACTTGAGTTGTCTTAAGGGCTTCTTCTTGGTCAGCCATTTGTTCCTTTAGCTGGTTGATCAATCGTGCCTGATTTTGAATTTCTTCATCCTGCAGAGGATTGAATGAAAATGAAAATGACGATTGATTGTTAGAAACAGTATATTACACCAAAACTACACCCTCTTTTCATCTCTCTTACAAAGTTTCTTTAAATTACCTATTGTTTCAGCCAATAAAATGCCTTCTAGATTTGAAAAGAATATAGAATTTGTATGGTTGCGGCTATATGTTACACCATAGTCAAAGAACTGTCTGTAAAGTCAGTTAAGAACAATTTCAGACTCTCATTTCTTCGATGAAAATAAGCTACAGGAGTATTTTTCCTGCCACATCAGTGAAGGGTTTTTCAACTCACCTTCTCATCCAGCTGAATGTACAGCTTTGATTTCTCGTCCTCGAACTTTTTCCTCTCCTTGTCGCTGACAGCCGGCTGTGATGGAGCCAAGAGTGCCAGACTCTCAAACACTTGCGAATTGCGATTATCTTTTGCGTTCGTCGTCTGTTCATCAAGGGGGACTGACTCACCTGCGAGAGATGCAATAATTCCATTAGCCCTTTTCCTTTAAGATATGACTTGGTATTTTCTCAAATCGGTTTGAATTTGTGCAAACGATCGCAACGACAATGTCACTAAAACGTGTCACTATAGCGTGTTTCTGCCATGTTTCATGATGACCTTCCACTTGTTACATCTTTGTTACGGCCCTTAGCTACTTTACAACTTCCTCGAACTGATTTGTCTGTCTATTCTCGATAGCTGTCTACTAAATTAACCCTCGTTGATGTAACGAGAAGTTACAAGTTGATCACGGAAAGGAGGGTGAAAGCTTGTCAATTCTCCCTTACCTCCGCGCCATCTTTGCAGTTCTTGTTCATATCTGCCCAGAGCTCCTCTGAGTTTGGAATTTTTTTCCTTCTCCTTCTCGAATCTTCTCTTCCACTCTTCAGCCGTGAGTTCCTCATTGACTACCACAACATTCTTGATGGTTTTTGCCCTAAAAAAAAGGTGTTCAAATTACAGTCTATAGGCAGTGTGCAACACTAGACTTGAAAAATATCCCAACTACTTGTTATGCACCTTGCTTGAAAATTTTCAATTTTGTGCAAGGGGCCTTAAATCATCCTTACATCTTATTGGTGTTAGGTGCTATTGGAAATTTCAGAACAGTACATAATGTTCAACTGTAAACGTACCTCTGACCAAACATGAGAGTTGATCGTGTTTCTTGCTCATTGAAAGATGATGGAGAGCAACAAATTATAATGGTTGTTCTAGCGTTACCACCTGTGAAAAGAAAAATTAAAGCATAAGAGATTGGCCAATCCAGAAAATCATAGTTGAATGTCATCCCAATGAATCTCGTCGATGACAATGCACAAGATCAAATTTTTCTCTTGTTACTGATGTTACAAAAACAACAACAACAGCAACAGCTGCATGGCCACGCTCACTGTACACTGGTTTATCATGTCAATTTTAGCAACTAGGCAAATTTTTAAAAGAATTCATTGCAAGCCCTTGTCCCCTACATAAAATAGAAATTTTTTTCAGAAAACTTGCTGAGTTTGGTTCCATATCCAATGATGCATGTGTATCCACAAAAAACCTTTTTTGTTCTGTGATTGAATGAAAAATGAGACAGAAGGTTCTTAAGAAACAAAACTACAGGACTGAGCAAAAAATCAAATCAAGCACACCAGTTGCATGCAAATATTTCATTAGCTAAGCCTTACCTAAACTCTCTTGCAATATTCTTGTCATTTTACTGTCTCTGTAGGGAACATGAGTTTTCTAAAGGAAAAAATTGATAAAAAGAAAACTTAAATTCAACACAACACAGTCACGAGTTGCAACACATAAGGTGCACAATTGGGGCCTCCAGATTCAAGAATATACCACAACCCATCAAGTTGATAAAACATGATTATCATGTACTTCATTTGTCTAGGCCCAGTTGTTCAAAGGGCAGATAATGCTATCAAATGGATAAATTGCTCTCCAGTGGGACAATTGTTAAGAAAAACAAACTGAGCTATCCATCAGATAGAGACATATTCAGTTGATAGCGCTATCCACCATTAGAACAACTGCAGCCTGGCCCTACACTTCCATCTCCTTACTGACATACAAAGGTTAAGTGACAATTCTCAAGGTGCACTGTACTAACACGACATTACAAGTGACATACAAGTTGAGGGCAAAATTTTGACCAAACTATCACCAATTGTTTTAAAGACCAGAGGGAAAAATCTATACTCTCCATTTTTTTCCAACTTTATCACTTTCCCTACCTTTTTCCAGATCTAGGAAACTATGCTGTAGCTTTCAGATTTAAGTTTTTTTGTTAAAGAATTTTTGCACCGCACATGAACTAGTTTAATAGATAACAATCACATGGATACAAATAAAAGGAAAACAGCTTACCGTTCCCTCAGCCAGGGCTGAAATAACATTTCCTAGAGCAGAGAGTGACTTGTTGATGTTCTTAGCTTCATCAAGAACAGCTCCTTCTGCACCAGTCTTGCTGACCTGTAAAAACAAGGGGGAGGGGTGGGTGAGCAGTTGCTCCAATACTGACACTACAGGTATTCTGTAACATCAACATGTCCTTGGGTCAAGTATCTACAAAACAAATTTCCACCAACCTTCTCAGATCCCGCTAAATCCACCAGATAAAGCTTGCCACTGAGCTTCTTATTAGTTTCTACATTTTCTTGTTTAATGTGGAGAAGAAATATACTATGGCTCCTTGAACTGTGTTCATTCATGTCTGATGAGGCAAGATTCATTAAACATGGTAAGGTTCCAATTCCTAGCTTCAGTGTCAAGACATTAGTTTTAATCTGTAAGAAGCAAGCAGTGACTAACATCTAACTTCTCCCCAAATATCATCCCTTGATCAAACATTATGGTCATGAGAATAAAGAAGCTGATTGCTGAGTCACAAAGCTCTTGATTGTTAGATAGATTCTCCTTGTAATTCTCATAGGCAATGTACAGAGAACAGTATGAAGAACTTGCAAACTAAATGACTGTAAATCTATGAAAATCCTATATGTGAACTGCAGATAAAGAAATGAATACAGAGGCAATCTTCACAGGAATAAACACTACTTAACCAATGGTTAAAACAAGGCCTGAAAAAAATTCAGGCCAGTATGGGAATTGAACCCATAACCACCAAGATACCAGTACAGAGGTCATGTGTTCAAATCCTGTTCGGGCCTGAACTTTTTTTTTCCCAGGCCTTATTTTCACTACTGCTTAAGTAGTGTTCATTACTGCAAAGATTGCTTCCATATTCATATTCAACTTATGTACTGATGTTAGGGTGTAAAGTGTTCAGGCATAAAAAGCATTTTCACCATCCCTGGACGGAATACTGGCCCATCCCATGAAATCCCCTTGCATTTTCTTTGGATCCCCTAGCAGTTTTGCATTACCATTTATATGCATAATGGATTCCTAATTGGAGAGGACTTGCCCAAGAATGAAATATCATAACTTTGATCAGAGTTCAAACTGCAATGTTCTGATTTATGGTCCAAAACCCTAGCAAAAAGGCTGATTCATTTTCTTCCCTTTTAACAGAGCAAGTCTTTAAGGACTTAATTTACATTAGATTTGGATGGCCTGTTAAAATTTTGCATGGAGTAAGTGTGCATTATTTTCTCTCTTAACAGGAAAAAATTGTTGTCCAGCATGCAGATGGCCAAAGATCTTCCATTTTTAAATTTCACAAACATTCTTTCTACTGATCTGTTGACATTGATATAAGGTTGATCAATCTGTCTTAGTCATTAACTCTTTGACTCCTAAGAGTGACTAGCATCTAATTTCTCCTTACAATATCACCCTTGAATCTCACATTAAGGTTAATAATAATAATGAGATTAATAATAATTAATAAATAATAATAATAATAATGAGATTAAAGAAAATGACTACCAGCCAAAGAAGCTCTTGATTGTTAAACAAATTCTCCTTGTCAGCACCTTAGGAATAGTTTAGAGAACAGCAAAGAGAAAATACAAACTGATGCTATGGTGTAAAGGGCAAAGAAGACCTACTTGTTACTGCCACATGGCGATTATTTTTTCCCTCATCAATAATTTCCATGACCTCTTCTGGACTGGACACAAATCTCTCACTCGCTCCCTGCAAAAGTAAAATTAAATTTCAAGTATTGAAATTCTTCTGTTCAATCATGGTGGTATTTATATCGAACCCTTTTAATCCCAGTTTAAAAGGGATTTATAATCATGATAGCCCCCCCCCCCTTGTTGATAAGCTTTTTGTTCTTATAACCTGTTTGCTTGTGGAATGTTATGTACTTGTTGACTGATTGGGAGGGCTGGCTAACAAATATCTGGCTCCAGATCAGGGCAATGGTATACCAAAAGAGTTCAGGGGAGGGGAGGGGACATTCCTGCACCATGACCAAGAACCAACTATTTTGCCATCAGGGCTGACAAAATTTAGTCAATAAGTGATTTATCATATGATCAGTGGATGACCATGTTTTAACCAACAGTACACGTAATTAGGAAAACATTACACACACGCACAAAGGTAGACTCACTCCAAGAACTCCCTGCAGCATGCTAACATCAATTTTTTTTCACCTATTTGTTTTTTTCTTTACTCGCATGACAGACTTCTGACATGAAGGGTATGAACTTGAAAGCTACAAAAATTTAATTCAATCCTTCAAGTTGGAAACATGTGACTCAAAATTCATTGATAAAGTCTCACCTTTACAAAAGGAACTCTATTCTTGTCTTCATGGACTGCTAAGTTTGTTTTGGTTACTGGAAAAAGAATGTGTGATATACACAATTTACATGTAATGAGTAGAAAACATACTGACCAACTAAACAGGAGTTGTTGAAAAGCTTTCATGCAACATTTAGATTTTTGCAAAGACAGTTTAGATTGAGAGTCATTAATTAATTAAGCTAACTAGAGTAGATCAAAAGAACCATTGTGGCCAATCAAAGCAAAGGAAAACATCACAAAGAACCAACCAGAACTCAAAGCACATGTGAACAGCCTAAAATACACAAAACACAGCCGACAAAGTCAGAGTTCAGTTCATTTTCAGTAGTTTGGAGTTTTGGTGTGGCAAACTAGCAAAGTTTGTCAAGGGCAAATGTGCAATGAGGTCAAACCTCCATACACCTTCTGAGATCAATCAAACACCAAAAAGAGGAAAACTTGTAACATCCTGGAACAATTTGTATTGATTGTAAATTAAATACTGTGTTTGTTTAACAAAGCAACAAGAATTGTGCTGACAATATGTAATTTATAGTTACTGATGAAAAGTGTATCCTACCATCCAAAAGATCTCTGATCTTGTCCAAGTAAATCTCAAAATAAGAAACCTGCAAAAAGATGGTATTTATTTGAACTTTTTTTTTTTAATATTTTATCACTATATTATTACATCAAACATAGCACAAGTGCATTAATATAGGTAATATCATGATTTTGAGTGCAATTTGGTCCTAATAAGCACAAGTAAATTATTCAAAGACAACAAAATTGCACTACCCTGTAGGGCAAGTACAATTAGCAGTCTTCCAAAAAATTTACAAGTGTTATCACACCAAATTGTATGATAAAAAATTGGTCAGGATAATAATGTTATCAATAAAAAAACATCACAGAGAGTCAAGACAGATGTAAATTTAGTCAGCACCCACATGCTATTTGTAATTTGCACTTTGCACTTGTATTACATAAGAATGAGCTTGTTTTCAGCCAATCAGACACCCATAATTTTTTCATGTACATTATTATCATAGTGAAAATATATAATTTCAAGAATGTGAAAACTTCAGATTATATAACATAGTAACTTAAAACTTCTTTAACAAGACAATTTACCTTGATATGAAACTCCAGATTTTCATCCATGTTATAAATGTAATTAAATATATCTTGCACAATGCGAGGAATGATTCCTTGATTAACTGGATCATCAAGGCGACCCTACAAATGCAAACACATCAAACAAGTTACCGTATTTCCCCGTGTATAATACGTGCCCATGTATAATACGCACCCCGATTTTTGACCAAATTTTTCATAAACAAAAGTTTTCAGAGCAAAAAAAAACGTTAATTCTTCCTACAACTGACGTTTTGCAGTGGTAAGTTTCGTTACCATTTCGAATTTCTTGTCGCTTGTGATTACAGTAATACGGTACGATCGTAATGTTTATCTCGTCAGCTGTTTCTTAAATACTCTACTAAATTTATTTATGGATCAAAATCGAAAATGTTTCATTAGCAGATTATTTAACTCAAGCTAATAAAGACTAATTACTACGAGGCTTTCGTTACTTTCTTTGTTGTGTTTGTGGATCGAAATTGAAAATGTTTCATCGGTAGATTATTTAGCTCAAGCCAATAAAGACCAATTACTACTGGGCTTTTGTTACTTTCTTTCTTGTGTTTATAACGTATGCAAATTAGGACGTACTTGAAAAACAATAGAAACAGCGTATAATATGCACCGCGATTTTGATGGTTATTTTCGTAGAAAGAAAGTGCGCATTATACAAGGGTAAATACGGTAATAATTACAAGCACCTGAACATTCCCTTGGGATGGGTTGGGTAGGAGGAAACTTCTCTTGACACTGATGAAAGGTTTAATACCCCAAACTAGGCAAATCCCCATGGAATTTACAGTAAGTATAGCTGTTTGTGAAAAGTGAAGTTCTATCATTTTGAACCTACATGTATTGAGAACTAGCATGTAAAATAATCAGGGAGTTGAAATATGCAAAACAGGACTGCACTGACCAAAGATTGAAACCACAATCAATGTTTCTAAGTCTTTATTGACCTAATGTCTTGGTCTGAGCTGTCCAAAGGGTTCATAGGCCAAGCAACATCTATCAGATAAAATTGCTAACTCAAGGATAGCATGCTGTAGTCTATATCACTAACTATCAAGCTAACCCTGATTGAGAAGTCTGACACCCAACCATCATCTCCAAGATAGCTTTGTCCTCCCCTTAAACAAATGCATCCTGTTTAACTAGCCACATTAACTAATAAAGTTGTGTGTGATATAGGTTGCAAATGTGACTGTCACATTTTCTTGAAAACCAAGAAATCTTTAATTCATAGCTTACCTCCATTGTATGGGTTTTCCCACTGGATGTCTGTCCATAAGCAAATATCGTTCCATTGTATCCATTGAGCACATCTGTGAAAAAACAAAATTATTGTTTCAAAACTGAAAAAATGCATTTTCCAGCTAAGTGAAAGTTATGCACAGAGACTATCCGCAATTTGTAATGTTTAGTTTCCCTTGTACTATTAACACATTGCAATTCATTTATCCTAATGCTGCCAATTTACCTCATACTCTTGTATAGGGCAAGGAACTGAGAGAGTTACATGTAAGCGTCTTGCCCAACTGACCCAACCAGAGCTCAATTCAAAACTGGATTTCTTTTCTGATAAGCCTATCCACTGGATAAATCTCCATCCAGTGGACAGCGCAGTGCTTTTTGCATCCACTTATCCTCTGGATAGTGGTTTATCCATTGGGATGCTAATGAATCAAAGGTTACACCTGTATACTTGTTAATTTCTCTGGTAGTTTACCAGGTCCTGGTTGTTTCAAGGTTGGATAACACTTTTTACTTGATAAATCTCTATTCAGTGGATATTGCTATATGTTTTGCCATTACTTATCCGCTGGAGAGCGATTTTTCTGTTGGATAGCATTATCTGCCCTTTATACAACTGAACCCAGTACCCTATTTCAGTCAGGGGTGGAGAGATGCACTGCAAGAATTGGAGTCCTGCCCAACACCACAATGACCAAGCCAGGGGTTAGATACAAGCATTACACTAAGGACCAGGCCACCAAATCTCCTACACTAGGGCCTGGTTACATTTCAAAGCACTTTACAATGGAGTGAGGGTTGACCTTGATTTACTTTGCCACTTCATATCAAAAGAAGTGAGACGTCACAAAAGTGACCTTTCAGGAAACTCCTATGTTCAGTATCAATAAATTCTAAAGCAGACAGAGAGGTACAGTAAAGAAAAATATCAATCATGAAATGTCAATTGACAGCTGATTTTTTTTTCAAATTCAACCCTTTGACTCTTAACCCTTTCACTCCCACAAGTGACCAAGACAGAATTTCTCCTTACAATATCCATACAATATCAAGCAGGCAGGTGATGAGAATAGAGAAGAATATCAATCATGGGATTATTAGTTGACCAATACCAAATTCTCTGAACTAACATCATAAGAATTGCATGGCAGATAGTAAGGAGAATTACTAATTAGATCTTGGGAGTGAAAGGGTTAAGAGTAACAAGTATCCACTTTTTCCTTGCAATATCACCCCAGAATCACATATCAAATCCACAGGACTAAAGGATATAATCACAAAATTAAGAAGCTTTTAAAAGAACAGCATGGAGGATACACCTACTGATGTTAGGGTGTAAAGAGATGAGAAAAAATATCAACCACAGAATATTCTGTGATTGAACAAAAAAAAAAGATTTTAGAACTCACAAAGGAAAAATATCCCAGAGTAAAAAGGCTTATGAAGCAGTGCGTCTGAGTGACACAAGTGTAAAATAGTAATGATTTTAATGGTTGCCTTGCATGCCCTCGTTAAGTGTAATAACAAAAATTTCAAGAACAATTATGCTTTCTTATTGTTTTCTGTCTAGACAACTTCATCAGGCTTTCAAAAAAGGAAACCAACTTGTTCATCGTGAAAAAAAAAGGCAAACTCTCCAGAGTATGTAAACAAGTTTCAAATAAAATTAAAAAATTTTAAAACATTCTCAGATCACACCCTACCTGTAGGTTGGTAATTAGTAATCAGTAAGACATAATTAAATAAATAAATATTCATGCATGTAGCTTTCTATATAATCAGTCTCATGAACATATTTTTTAAAATGAAAGGTCCTACCATCATCAATCTGAAAATCTATAAAAGTGTTTTTTTTAATTTTGAACCAAAAAAGGTAATTCCATAGACAAAAACAACTACATTGATTTCAACTGTTCCAGTCTGCTGTAACTAACCTGCTGATATCTTGAAATATTTAAAGGAAACATACTTTTCTCCACACAAAAATACAACAAAAATGTTTTCTGAAATTGGTGCACAGGCAACATTTAGCAATCTATTCCTTTGATAGATTTTAATACGGAATTCTTCACAGAACAACCTTGAAATTATGACTCTTAAATTAATGTTCAGAAAATCATGCAGATATGTTGATACACTTTACTCAAATCAAGCCAAGGACCCCTAGCAGAGGTTGTATGCAGCTCACAAGCATTACCTTACACCAAACAAACTTCACTTTTTTCCAGATTCAAGTGTAAATGCAAAGTGACATTTGAATTGATGCTTTCATGAGACTGATGCCAATTTAGAGTGCAATACTGTTTGATCTGTATTATCTTGTGTACAAAACAAAATTCATTGATATACACTTAAAAGCTGGCAGAAATGGAGCTTCAACACAAAGTTTGCAATAATCAAAAAAGTCCAATTCTCAATTTCTCCTCAATTCACAAAATTAATGTAAAATGTTCACATGATCAAGAAAAAAAAAGCACCTCTTTCCTCGCACTTGAAAAAAAGAGCTGGTTTAAACTTGGTAAATACAGGTTGAGGCATAGCCAATACCAAACACTGAAAAATTAGTCTTAACAATTTGTACACCAACTCATTTCCCTTGAGGGAAAATATATTCTTTAGAGAACTCTTCTGAGTGAGATAATGACTACCAGAAAGTCATATTTCGATCTGCTCCCAAAGCAAAATAAACCTTTTTTTTCAAGTAAGATACCCCTCAGAGAAAATTATAGTGTAACTTACATGTAAATTATGTAAATTTCTTGAAATTGATTACAGTGCATGCAAAACTGAATTGTGTGTGAAGATTTCTGTGTACATAATGGGTATCTGTCTGGAAAATATTCAAAAGTACCTTAATTATGATGCTAATCTTAAGAGAGCTAAGAAACGGAATGAATGTTCGAGAAACCATTTCAAAGAAAAATACAAAACGCAAAAAATTCGACCTGTAACCTTTTTTCCTCATTCACACATTCCACCCAAAGTTCGAATTTATGTTCGTGAAGTACTTTATATCATCCCAGAAATTCAAAGGAAAACTTAATCAAATAAACGGCAAAACTCGTGCTAAAATTAGCTTTATATCGATCGTCGAAAGCCAAAGAAATTTGGTTATAAAAAAATTAGGACACCCTTCATCTAGGTTGCTTTATCAGATCTCACTGATCAGCGATCGATTTTCATAACAAGGTTTTAGCTGGCATGAATTACCATACGAAAAGAAACAACATTTCAACTATTTGGGACACATCTAGAATATTACAGAGCTGTTCAAAAACAGGGCTAAATACGCAAGACAATCTGATTTCCATTGATGCGAAAAGGTTCGAAATTCAATTGATTCGAAAAAGAAGCCAAGAAAAGGCAAAACATTAGAAATTAATTCAACAAAAAGAGGACACAGAAAGAGAAAACTACCCTTTCAGTGAGACCATGTGATCAAACACGAATATGTAAAGATCGTTTATTGCACGAGTGTTAGGTAGTACTATGGCTCACGATGGACAATACGAAAAATTTCCAAAACACTCCAATTAATGCGTTGACTCTAGATGTCGACGAAATACAGCCTTTCTCCTCAATATTTAAGTCTCTCTGAAACTGTACCTAGAATTGTTAATTCTATGGTTATACATATTCAAATGATTCTCCTTTCTCTCCAAGAGAGTTGTTTACCTAACGAGTGTGTCCACTGGAACCGCGCATAGAATTTCAAAACCTCACGAGAAGAAACTAATAAGATAGACTAAATACGAGGCCGGGCACTTCTAACTCCCCAAATTATCAACAAAAGAAATCCGATATATGTCTTTCATAAGCCACCAATGCAAAATCAAAGCCACAGTAAATGAATTAATAATACAGGTCTAAACTCGTGAAGAACATGGCAACTGCAATCTGCTGCCAAAAGGAATATTGACAACTTCTTGACTGTAAAGTTGACGGTCAAGTAACAATTTTTTTTAACTTAGACAAGATTTAAAGCACTGATTCCCGTTACCGCTGTTTATTCAGGTGCTCGAAAAACCAATAAATCTTTGTTGGATGACAGCGACAGCTTTTAACTCGTTTGTAAGCAAAATCATGAAAACATTTTTGCTAGGTAGCAATAAGTAGCTAGGAAGAGAGAACTACTTTAAAATGGCTGCTCTTAGGTAAGATCGTTCCCTGGATAACCTTGTGTTAACATCACTGTTTTATCTATATTTTGCAGACCACGTAGACACTGCGATTCATCTGAAAGTATGAAACATTTTTACAGTCGCAGAAAGCGTTGCGCTGAAACTTAAATTGAAAACAGACAAAAAGGCCCGTTGACTGCATACAATATCCTATCATCACGTTTCGTAAACTTCAAAGACCTTAAATCCTAAACGGTTAGAAGGCAAGGCAGCTTCTAAAAATCCTGTTTTCGACGCCGGTGTAAACTATTACCCCACTCGGCTACCAAATAACAAAAAAAAAAGGTTTTGCATAAGAACCATTTACACAATCTACCTTGTACGATGACCTGGGCAGCTTCCAAATAAACTCTTTCCTGCGATGTGTTGGACTTGAATACGCGATCAAAGGTGTATGTTCTTCCCTAAAACACACAAGACAAAGATGAAAAGTTGTCGACGTCAAAAGTAATACCGGGATTATTACAAAAAACCTTGCGACTCAATTATGATAGAAAGTGGTTGGCTCACCGCATGAACACAAGTATCCGAAGTTGGAGTTGAAACAACACTCTCCCCTCCTGCCCGAACTTCTGCGTCGGATTGTGGCCGAAACCGAGCAAAAACCTTGATATTACACTCTCTGGGATCAGGATTCATGACTGTCGTAGCAAAATTTCACAAAAACCTCGGCGATCTGCAATAAATGACCAAGTTTCGTATGTGATTCATCGGCAATATTCCTCGTACGCGTACAACATAATTGCCGGTAAATTCACTCCATAAGGCCAAACGACTCCAAAATGGCCCCAAGCCTTGCTTAGATGTTTCCCTACAGAGTTATTAGTGTACAAAGATGACTTCTCGACTGTTACGACAGCTATTTCCCGATCATTTTTCCAGATAACGCTATGAATTCACCTAACGATCGATCGCTCCAAGTCGGCCATTATGTCCACCTCGGTTGACGCAGAGCATTATGGGTAGAAATACCTTCGACGTTTCGAAATGAAGGCAACTTTTTCTCGCCCCGCCAAGCCAATCACATTACTGTAAAGTAAACAATATTTGATTTAATAACATAATAAATAAGTGTGAATAATCATTTCAAAAGTGCTGCAGAATTCTGCCAATTATATCACACGTCTGCATCGTAGGAACAATGAAAGAATCAGCGACTCTTAAAATGCAGGGCAGAAACCACGAACCGGAAGTCACAACGAAATTGCGGTTTTAGAACCTCGGCTTTTCTCAAAAAATCCTTTTATCGGGTCTTGAAATCTTCACATTCTTGAGATCAAGATCCGTATTTCTGTGCAAAGATCGTAAATTAGCAAGGACTTAGTGGCAGACGTTTCGGCAATCAATGATTAGGCTTCCACTTCCAAACGCCCTGAAACAAGTTTTATATCTTAATTTCAGAATTTTCTCTCAATCAGCGATAATTTTGATTCTTATTTTAATCCTCTTTTTCAGTTGAGCGAGACACTGACTTACAGCGCTAACTAGTATTATCTTGAAAAGATTTTATCATGCCTAAAATCAGATATCAAACTCTTGTTATGCGTGACAGCTAGGGCGGTGAAAACAATCGCTTAAAAATATTGGCCCCAGGCAAGATAAATTTGCAAATTTACATTTGCCTTGTTTAAGACCATTACATGAAGAATCATTTTTTGCAATATATTATTCAATCCAAGCCAATATATCTATTGAAGCTTTATGTTGGAAATATCGGCTTACAAAGAATCTCTTATCTTTCAGTGACACGGTTCTGATGAAGTCATTTGTATAACCAAAACTTCCTCTCAAGTATAATGCGATCGCAATTTTAGATATTTCAATGGAAATTCGTTTCAACATGTGTGCATTTATAACGAATTTCAGACACGATCACGCCTTGCCCGGCTGGCAAGAAATTGAGAGTGATAGTTTCAAAAATGATGTGCGTGAGGTAAGCAGCAAAAAAAGATGTCGATTCAGTTGCTATATTTGGCTCCGAAACATTGCATGCATGCAGCTGACGGCTTCCCCAGAAGAATGGTGCCAAGCTGGGAAAGTATTACGCGGTTACGAAAAACCTCAGATGAACAGGGATTAGGTTGTTTCTAGCCAAAAACAGCTATTAATTTAATTGCAGCTCAGAAGAGTTTGGTTTCGCATGCGCTCTTTTTATTTGAAGGACTGCGATAGTGTGGCAAGACGGACGGAGGTAAAAAGATCGCCGGATTTGAGCGCCCTCGAGGAAAAGAAGGCTTGATTGTAGGTTAACTATGATTTCACTTTCCTTGTTGTTAGATTAAAAAAATTACTCTAAAAATAATGTAGACCAAATAGAAAAAGTTTGACTGAAAAGTTTGCAAGTCACAAGTGTAGATCCATACAATACTGACAATACTGAAGAGATAAGAAGGAAGATTAGGCGATATACTGTTGACAATATTATTATTTAATTTTTTAGCCTACATCGCTACTAACATTCCTAATATACAATTAGGTACAAAAAAGTGTGTAAACGTGAGATCCTTCATTAAGAGAGATAGAATAATGAAGTATAATTTAGGAAATGGTACTGCTGAAAAAGCACTCTTTCTATTGGTAGGTTTCTCGTGAATCGATCCGGAAAAAGGCTGGTACCATTTCCGTTTCCGCCCAACACTTATGACTTCCGTTACGAGTGGGCTGCTTCCAGTTAACACACGAAATAAAAGAGGAAAAAATTAAAATATTGACGAGGATTTAATAATCGTGCTGAAGCTATTTTTATCACGGGTATGGATCCTGAATTGAATAGTATTGGATCTAAAGCTATCCCTGTAGGAAACGTTCGGTGAAAGGTTTAGAGCAGCCTTACATTGGTGCAAAATTAAGCAAGCTCCGCACCTGGGGGAAAATTAGGAAAAGTTGGCCGAAACTTTCATTGCCGATAGTACAAAACTTCAATAAACGCAAGGAAGAAAACCAATTCATTCTGGAATAATTTTCACTTCTGCGACACTGCTGCGATGGCTTTCATCCCAGTCGATAAGCGGTTGGTGATTTTTTCATTGATCTCGGGCGGAAGATAGCCATGCCGTCCAGTCCCCTTCTCCAAGCAATGTAACTCGTCCCCATCTCTCTCCCGCGCACACGAATAGGAAAATTCAGAAAAGGTAGCAGAGTAAACCGAGTTTACAAAACGAAACCACAGGACCTAATTTTTTTCCACTCGACACCTGCTGGCAAACAAAGCTGGAAAAACAATGGGAACAGGTAATGACAACTGGCCTAGTTCAAATTAATTTTTTTTTCATGAGTAATTTTGTTCAATTTTTGGTTTGATTTTAAGTTCAAGGATTTCTGTAAAAAAAAATCGCAGCATGAGAGGATTGAATGGGTTAATTTATCAACATGTGCCGAAACAGAAAAATCTACGTCGGAAAGAAAATAATTCAACGAATGGAATCGAAAAGTAAGCTTGACTAATTCCAAAGAAACGAGACAAGGCTATACAAATGGTTTCATTAGCAATCTTTAATTTGGAATGACTGTGGTGAAAATATTTATAAAGCTAAAACTTAATTAAAAAATAAGTTAAAAATAATACGTTCGGCGAAGCGAAGACTTGTCTACAAATTAAGGTGTGAAAAAATTCATGGTACGCAAAGCGTAAAGAGGAGCGCCGGTGTTTCAGTGGATTTGGGACCACACTCTGCCAACGACTTAAAAGGGCCTGAGTCGACACTCATTAGCGGATTATAAGCCACTTATGTTTATTTTTAAAAACTTCCTTGCAAGCATAATATTACAGAGGTTAATAGACGAGAATTTTTAAGCATGTTCAACGTTCTCAACGTTTCAAAATCTTAAAGGCTGCGAGAAGGCTTTCATTATCATCGCTGGGAGACATGTGCTCCTCCAAGTCGCCGGAGTCGGGAAGAGCTTTGTTGTGGGGCTGGCATTATCATTGCTCAGGCCCCTACCAGACCCCTACCGGTTCGTGTTGCTAAAAGCCTTAAAGTATTAAGCCTGTATCATGCGGTCACCCACGGGGAATGGCCGCTCAACCCTTTACAGCCTAACATCAGTATGAATATTCTCCACACTGTTCTTTAGACATTTCCTAAGGTGCTGACAAAGAGAATTTGATTGTCAATCAAAAAGTTCCTTCCCTAGTGACCATTTCCTTTCTTCTCATGGCCTAATATACCAAGGAGAAATTAGATGCTTATCACTCTTATGGTGTAGCGGGTTAATACAGGTTTACCGCTTAAAACAGGTTTCGTAGTCTGCTGAACTTTGAAGTCGATAATTAAACATCGTCTGGGGCGCTCTCAAGTTTAAAATTCCAATATGGAATAGGTTTTTCTCGTCGTGCCGGAGGAGTACTGGAAAGGGGCGAACTCGCACCAGGGTGAAGGCCCTCAAAACCCTGTTAATAGCTTGAAAGAATAAGCGTCCTCGAGATGAGGTTGATGTTCAAAGTTGGCTACAACTAAGAATTGAACATTGCCAATACCTTGAATCTACCCGCAATCCCAAAGAAACTTGGAGATTCGTATAAATAAACAACAGCCTCTATTTGGCACGAAAATATAAACGGATATTTGTCCGCAGACATGAACTATTCCACGATGCGAACGGTTATCTGCAAACGAAGCTCCAGGAAAAATGTGAGGGGTGAGGAAATGGTAAATTGGAAGGAAGAATATGTAATAGTGCTGTCCTAAGTTCACGCACTTAGAAATCATATGAAATACAGAAAGTAATACCAGAAATACTCGTTACTGAGGAAAACTCTCCATAAAAAGACTTGGGGCACACACAGGAAAGAATGCACACGAAACATCTGATTCTTATGCATGTTCATCTGTGATGAGTGGTAGTGTTATAGATACAAGTGTATCACACCCAGATACGACAGCCACCAATTTCTGGAAGACAAAGTTTTAATTTCCAATTTAAATCAACTATCTGCCTTCTTCAGTTCCTCCACCTTTGCAATATAGGCTGCTTCAGCTTCTGCTTTGGGTGTACCTGGTGAAAGAAAAAGTAGCAAATGTGACACGTTAACAAGGGGTAATGTCAGCAATGTTTTGAGTTGTCTTTTTTTGCAACTTGCGCAGATGGTAAGCTACCAAAAGAGAATTACCAAAGAGGGAATGAATTTAACTGAGTCTCATATGTAACATGTCAGCTGTAATTAAGCATTGTGGTTACAACAATTACTCTGACGAGTAATAAGTCAAGTGAAATTACTGTGAACTTTTGCAAGTATTGTTGAGACAGGGTCCTGAACGAAAAAATATTCTTTAATCACCTTTTGGCACCTAAGAAGCACAAAATGGTCACCAAAAATGAAATTTAAAAGCTGCATCTGAATGTACCTGTGAGTACCACAAATTTAGCTGTACAACAACACATGAAAAAGAGCAACAGACATCACCTATGCATAATGCATGTTAAAATGTGGAGTTGTTCAATGTCAACAGACTTTATTTTTGCACATTTCCTTTTTTTTCTCTGAAGATGGAAGTAAAACTAGAAAATATGAGCTACCTGTTGAACTTGACTAGTTTAAATCTTATTTTAGAACATACAGAAGTAAAGTCACCAAGGCGGCTACTTGACCAGAACTTTCAGGTGCCAGTTAGAAAATGTTAGTTGCATTAGTGCCCATATCAATCACAATCTCAATTCCTGTGAGAATTGTTTGGTGTTCCATTTATTAAATAAGCAATTATAAGTTGATTGCCAGGGATAGGGAACAGATCTTTCCCTGAGACTTTTAGTAAACAGTAAGAAAAAAACCTGAAACACATCAGAAGTAGCTCTAATGTGAGACAAACAGTTATAATACTCCATAACAAAGTTTAATTTTATTACATGCTGTTTCCAAAGCTTACAATGCTACCTTGAATAAGCATTTTTTAGCTTAGATTTTAGATTACAATAGTTTGCAGTACCTTTCTTGCCATTCCAGGCATCCCACTTGGCTTTTCCAGTCATATCTAAAAATCCAGGTCTTTCTGCCAATAAGAGAAAGATTGCAAGGAAATTATTTAGATACTACACCATAAAATTGGAAAACAATTGTTTACATTCATCAGAACTGCAGTTAATACAAATTGGGTTTTAAAACTTTAAATAACAGTTTGCATTGGCTTAAGTCTGAGTAAGAATATGAGGATTATTGACATATCCTTTGTGAATTTGTCCTTCTATTGGGACATCATTTTGGACACCTGTGGTATCAGCCTGTGTGAAAAACTACAAAAGCTCTAAAACTGGGCAGCCTGTATTTTACTGTGCATAAACAATGAGAAGGATATTGATGAGATGCTGGCAAAACCTCAAAGACTAGTACCTAACTCTGTTATGATGAACAAAACTTGACATGGATTGATCCCTGAATATGTACAATCTTGATTTGTATCACGAAATGATCTTACTTTGTACCAACTGAGGAATTCTGGCATTTCAATCACCCCACACCAACTACTGAGGTGCTTTGCTGTTGAACAGTCATTTTCATGAACTCTGATCAAAAGTTTTTATTTTAGCAAATTTAAATGTAAACTGCATTATTATAGCTTTGAATGAGATACAGCATTCTAGGAAAGCAGCTTTCATCAGTGATATAAAAAGTTTTTATTTGGATAATAGTATATTAATTATAAGTTAGTTTTTCAGTTGTACCATAATAGTGACCTTCTCAACACTGCTCACAAATAACAGCATTTCACACCTTTGGCTAAACTTAGATGTTCTTAGAATAAGACTTTGCCTTAAAATCATTGCAAAGGAGGCACATTTTCAAGGGAAGATGCTAATTCAAGGATTTATTAGACATTTATATCAGTCTTAAAAGACTATGAATAGTTCTTGAGCAAAATACTTAAGTTTGTCATACTGAAATTATAGTCCTTGGTATACAGTCCCATGTTAATTGGATCGTCTACACCTTGAACAATTGAGTTTTGACAGCTCTGCTTCCAGTTTTTCACAAGTTCTACCCCAGTTTGCAAAAAAATTTACCATCAATTTAAACTGAACAAGAGCACCACAAGACTTTGCTTGTGATGCTACCTTTTCAATCTCTTCACTCTTAAGATGCCTGAGATGCCGCCTTTTTAATCTTTTCACTCCCAAAATCTCATTAATAATTCCTATTGTTCCCTGCCATAGATTTCTTATGATGTTAGTTCAGAGAATTTGGTATCAGACCAACTAATAATCCCCTAATTGATATTTTTCTATATTCTCATTACTTTTCTGCTTAATATTGTATTGATATTGTGAGGAGAAATTCTCTCTTAGTCACTTATGGGAGCTAGGGATTAACCATCTACACCCTAATATCAGTATGCATATTCTCCATACTGTTTTTTATACATTTTCTTATTCACTAAATCATATGTTATGCCTCTTCTCACCCTGTCATAAAAAAAGCCTGATTTTTGCAGTCTCTGTGACTGATAATTGCTAACTTTCATGAAGCACAACTTTAGTCCTACCAGGCCAGACAGCATGTGTCATGATCAGTCTCATTTGCATTCAGAGATATACCATGACATTGGAAAATATGTTAGGAAAAATTTTTTTCTCCTTTTTCTGTGGGTTTAAGCCAATGAGAGTGCTTCAACTTCATGAGAAAAATAAATGCAATAGCTCAAACGAATTATGAGCCAGATGAAAATTGAATAAAATTATATCAATTGGATTTCTAAAAACAATGCCCAAAGATTGAGAAATTTAAGGGGCGTGTTTATGGTGTAAGGTCTCTCAAGGGCATTTCAGAAAACTCTCGCAAATAACATGTTTACTCTGGTTTAACATTCATAAGATCAAAGAAGACCAATTAGATCTTTGTATGTTAAGGAAACTGCAATACAAAGCTTGGTAAGGTTTAAAGTCCGATGAAATCACAAAATAAGATCAAAGGTTATTATAGCGACAGGGTCATAGGATCAGTGACTGACGAATGTTTTCGTCTGAAAATTACCGTTAAGTAGCTCTCTAAAACCATCAACAGCCACGATCTGAAACAACATGAAGGCAATAATTTGTTTTATTACCTGTGTTGCAATCTCCGACGGTAACTTGCTTGTAAAGAGCATAAACTTCCAGCATGTCTTGATCGCTAGGTTGCTTCGACAACTTCTTCACCTCTTCAGCTGCTTTCAGAAAGGCCTGGCGAAAAAGCAAAACACATTGTGCTAAAATCTCTGGGACGATCTGGACTGCGGAAGAAGTGAACTTTTACAAACAATACTCTCTTACCTCAGACATATTTAAAGAGATGCTGTCTCAGATGCGAAGAAATTAGAATGATTTCAGCACGTGCAACCTCAGCAGTTCTTGTAATATCCACCAACTGTAAGAACTCGCAGCGACCGGGAGGGATTGGGTGGACTAGCTCCCAGTCTGTCAACCGGATGCTTACTCTGGCGTGACAGTCACTATGAAACCCAAGATAGCGTCGAAGCAAAGACCTTCCCCTTCAGCCGGCAAATGGAAAGTTCCTCTACAGCTAGAATAGAATCCGGAGGTAAAGTGCAGCAAGGAAGGAGTACCTCCGGAGTACGAAATTTTTTAGCTGGAGGTTTTGGTGGAGTTTGTGGCGTGACAATAGGACATCCATTTGATACGATCAAGGTGCGCATTACTTACACTTACGGTTTGCAATGAATGTTTGTTTTCAATTGTTTATTTACGTGGCTGTTACCTTTTTTCGGTGATCAATACCTTGTGCCCCGCCCACTTCAATAAGAGATCAAAGTTAATAATGATCGTGGTTTTCAGACTAAGGGTAATGTCCATATGAGATTCAATTTTCAACAAAATACTGATTGTACTGGTTTGCTCCGTGGGAGGAACGATGTATACTCGTTTGAAAAAACGTTATCATTGAACAATGAGACTCAATGGTAAAACGACAATTAGTTGTCTGTCCTAAGAAGCTCTTGAAGCTGAAATAAGGTTTAAAATCAAATTTCATTCGGGAATAAACACACCATATTGACAAATGTTAAGAAAGATTAATTCATGTTTACTTTGATTTTGTTCCACTGAATAGGTTCGCATTCAAACAACCCCATCTCCAAAACCTGGGCAGGAGGCGGTGTTTAAAGGAACACTTGACTGCTTGTTGAAAACATTACGTAATGAGGTAATTGCCAGTTGATTGTTGTGCAATGATGATGATAATAATGACAATGATGATATCACAAATGACTGTTAAAGCTGCAGTCATGATAGATGGAAGTCTTCTTACCACCATATATTCTATATAAAATAAAAAATTGGTTGAAAATCCCAACTGATCTTAGGCAGACCAGCTGGGTGTGAAATTGCAGAGCACAGCTAAGGAACTGGGAATAACCTAGACTAAATTTGGTGAGCAGCTGAGTAGGAGACATTGCCCCGTGAACCACCATTTAGTTTCCTGACTACTTGACCTAGCTACCTCTGCAAAATAGAAGTTCCTATAGTTATCATTGCATTTAACCATTTTGCTCCCAAGATCTAAATCTTTATTCTCTCTACCATCCCCTATATGTTTCTTATGATAATAGTTCTGAGAATTTGATGTTTAATCAAGCTATATCCTCTTGTTGATGTTTTTCTTTCTTCTTATAACTTTTTCCTTAAAAACATATGGATATTATAAGGAGAAATTACTTGTTGGTCACTCCTGGAAGGGAAAGGGTTGAGGGAGATTCATTGTATGAGATGCTCATGCAGTGGTTGGCTCCTTGGGTAACTAGCCTCCTTCAGTAGTATGGGCGTGGGTCATAAGGTAATTTTCTATTTGTTGGATTCTTGACAAGTGAACTGACATGGTGCTTCTTTCTGATTTTAAGTCAAAAGTGATAGGTGTGGTAAATTCATAGTATTGTATTGCGGGAAAAAACTTGTGAAAGGCTTAAGTTAAGCCTTATGTTAATGAAAGGAACACTTCACCTGGTTGCTTCTTGCTGCGGAAACTGGCATAAAGCTTTGGTGATATGGGCCTAAGGGACGGGTGGAGGGAGGGAGGGGGGGTTACTTCTTATGAACTAGCTTATAGGGATGTGCCACTGGATGGGGTCTCATTTATATGACTGGATTGACTATAATAGGGTTGCATTTTCAATACAGTTACAAGAATGTGGTTGGCAACTTTTAGGATTTTGGGGATAAGAAAGTTTTGGTAAACAGGAAAATGGAAATCTTTTTGTTTAATTTTCTTTATACCAGTTTTAGAATTTCCATGTACAATCTAATAGAGACCTACTTAAAAGGCTTTATAAGGTAAATCTGTAAACACAAAGTGACTATGTTAGGATAACAAAAATTAGATTTGCCCAAAAGTGGCAAACATGGGGTGTATAATTGGCCACAGAATAGACTATGATGGGGAAAGGATTCTGAGAGGCCAACAAAACTTGACCCACAAACCCCTCTTCCCCAAAAGTGGGTAAATGCAAGAGGATTTGAAAAGGTTAACCTTTTTCATCTATGTTGGATACCTTCAAAAGTGTGTACACAGTAATTGTTGTTGCACTGATTATTGATAATTAGTATGTTATCATAATCTAATTTGAAGGGTGTTCGTGGATTATTCAAAGGACTTTTCACACCAGTTGCCTTTGCCACACCCCTGAATGCAATCCAGTTCTGGGCTGTTTCTCTGGCCAGAAGGCTGCAGATGGAGGATCCCCATGGTATTCCAACGTAAGTACAGACCTGCATCATATTCTAGCTATTTTATGAGATATCTGAGAAAAAGGTAGTTAACCCTTTAACTCCCAGATCAAATTTTTAATTCTCCTTACTCTTGAACATACAATTCTTAAAATGTTAGTTAAGAGAATTTTAATTAGTATTAAATCAACTAATTATTCCCAAATTGATATTTTTCTTTATTCTCATCACTTATCTGCTTGATATTGTATTGATATTGCAAGGAGAAATTCTCTCTTGGTCACTTATGGGAGTTAAAGAGTTAAGGAACAGGTGAAAGCAAGGGAAGGTAATTTTAGGTACACCAGAGGTCTATGGGATGATTTTTCACAGAATGAGGATGAAGCAGGTGTGAATAGTGCCTTCCTTTTCTCTCAAAACCCAGAGAAGCTGCTAACTGAGATTGAGTAAACCTGTTTTCTCATCACCATAACTTGCAAAAAATCCTTTCTGCTGACTTGAATAAGTTAACTTTTTAACAGTGATTACAATACAATACAATACTTTTATTTATACATGTAACACCAAGGAGCTCCTGAGTGCTCATTAAAACGTGTACATTTGTATTAATGTAAAACAATAAAATTGTACAAAATGTCAAAGGATAAAATTAATCAATTAATTAATAAACACTACCTAAATGCAAACTAGTAATAATCTACATACAAAATTTAACAACTTTAAAAATTTAAAAAGCTCTTCAAGTCATATGAACATTAAGAGCCCGCTTAAAAGATACAGTGTCTTTGGACTCTCTAACCGTTGGAGGCAACGCATTCCACAGTTTACTGACTAAAAAGGTAAAAGATCTATGCAGTGATTGCTCTCAGCAGATAAAAGAATCATGTACTAACAATTTCTGTTACATTTCTTAGATTTATTTAACTTTTTCCCTCTTATCAGAATTATCAAATAACTGATAACCTATAAAAGAAAAGGGCAATTAAAAGCAAGTCAAGAAATCACCTTAAATAGATAATTTTTCACCCCTACTCCCTAAATATAAATTGCATATATTCCATAATGTCTTCTTTACATTTCTTACATGGTGCTGATTTAATAAAATTTGTTTAAAAATCAAGGGCTTCTTCACAAAGCCTACAAATCTTACGTTGGCAATCATTTCCCCTATACTTGTGACTAATAATTCAGAAAAGATTCAGTAAGGAGAAATAAGATGTTAGTCTCCCTTAGGAGTTAACAGATCAGAACTTAAGAAATGTGTTTCCTGATAATAGTAGAATTAAGGAATGGTTCTTGTGTAGCATGCAATTATCTAGTTGTGGAGGTACTTGGGAGGTTTGCCTAGCACTCAAGAAGCTGAGTGCGACTCCAGCTAGCTTCTTAAGTGCTTAGGAAACCTCCCAAATGCATCCATAACTTGATGGTTGCACAATACATGCCAACCATTTCTTTTTAGGTTTTGTTCTGTGTAGGAAAAAAAAAGCAAAACAAACTGACATCAGCATGCAACCTATGGCCAAATGGATCAAATGTATTAGCCAATCAGAGCACATGCTTAAGTATAGTTTTGTCAGAAATTAAACTTGTGTACAAGACCTTCTTATTGTTACTTGTAAGTAAACATGCATCTATGGCATATTTCTCAGGGTGTCAGTGGTTGCTGGTCCTAATGACCATTATTACTAACTGCAGACTCTCTTAGGATCAACTAACCATAGATCCATTTTTTATTAAAAGCACATCTTCATTTTCAATCAAACAGGAATTTCCAAAACTTTACCTCTGGAATGTTTGGTGGGTTTTGTGCTGCAGCTATTGTAACTCCTGGTGATAGGATTAAGTGTCTTTTACAGGTAACATGATTTATGATTTTCCTGCATTTTGATAAATCAGCTCATAACGTATGTGGTAGTTGCTATTTTAAGAAATGAATTTCCTGTTTCCTAGTTGTTATTTATTAATTGTGGCAGTTTTCTGTAAGGAAAATATTTCTGAGAATATTGAGAAGCAATGGACAGCCCCAAAACATCAAAGTTTTTTTATTAGTTTTTTTTATTTTTTCAAAACACTCCCTTGATTTGCACATTAACTGTCTTGATTTGCATAATATTATTCAATTAGGTAAAAACCAAAGTTTCAAACTTTTGAAAATTTCTCCCTTGAAATGAGTCACTGGAACCTTTAACTATTTTTCCTTAAATACATTTGTCCAAGGGATTGCTATGGCAAAATGAAATAAAAAATTCAATTTTTCTATATTCTCAGGAATATGCTCTTAACAGTTGGTGTAAATTTAATGGTTATATTCAGAAGTATATAAAGCTTTGCACCAAGAGCAGTTTGCACATTGTTCCCCAAATGATTGCATATTGTTATCATTATTATTATTGTTATTATTATGATTATTATTATTACATTATATTGTAGACAAAAAGTCATGCTAACTAAAATTGAATATATACAATGATTGAAAACCACAATTTGATGGAGGAAACACCTCACATTTAAGTTTTGTTGTTAGGTGAGTGATTTATAATTCCTTGATCTTAAATTGACAATCCAAACTGATTAAACTGAACTACATTTACATCGTTGAGTTGCCTGTCATTATGTTACTTATAATGGCAAGCAATCCTACTGAAACTAAATAAGGGGGGAAGGGGCAAAGCAAGGTTATAAGACTGCAGCTTCCCCCCCATTTGAGACCACTTTACATAAGCTCAAACAAGATTTAACAAAAAATATCTGAAAATAAGAAAATCTTCTCAGGGTACATGGGGGCAGAGGGAGTGTACCTCTCACATTGCCCATTTGTAGATGGCATTTGACCATGACTGAAAAACTAACAGGGAAAATTGCTCCTTCATGTGGCTCATATAATTTTTTCAGCTCAAAAATTACTAGCTAGGAAAACAGGGCCTCATTTTTGATTCCAAGTTACCTAGGCTTTTTTTTCTTTGACTGTGTTGAGGAAGTCATGGGATGACCTCCATGAGTCTGATATCACAACAAGTTTCGCCTGAGCACGGAACATGGCTATGTACGGATCATAGTTACGAACAGGTTCAAACCCAGAATTCCCATCACCTAACAGAAGTTCAGGTGTCAGAAGCACAATTACCATGGGCCACTCTGCACCATCAAGGCAAGCTGAATCCTTTCTTGACTTTGAATTCAAGAGACACACTCCACCACGTAACCTGTCAAGAAATTCATCCTCAGCTGAAGATGCTCTTTGGTCATTCAGGTCACAGACAGGAATGTTTTCCAAGGTGAGACCACCAGCTAAACTATGTTTGGACTGATAGCGTGCAACAAAATTGACCACCAGAATATCATCAGGATTAAGCTGTAGCTTAATAAAGGTGGACGAAGGTGGACGAAGGTCACGATTGAACCAGATAACTTGTTCAATGACTTGCACGCATTTGTTGTACATTAGCATTGTAAGATGATCCCTGTCCACATGTGAATGTCCAGCATGTTGTGCTCTCTCTGGTGAGACATCATTTCCCTCTGGTTGGACAGCAATCCAGGTGATTTCCTGCCCATCCACATTGTGATTGAGCATGTTCTTTACACCATATGGAAAACTTCTCTCAAGATACAAGGAACTGTAGCCTTGTAGCAGCCTCACAATGTTGTTCACACTCCTCAAAGGGTGCCTGATCCTACTTGTGACTCCACCTTTTTTTTCCAGAACCTCCAGAAGAGATGGTGTACTGAGCTTTTTGTAAAGCAAATTCTCTTTCCCTTCCAGTCTCTGCAAGGTTAACACTTCTGTGATTTCTTCTTTGCTGATTTTCTCAAAGCACTCTTTCTTAAAGTCAAAGACAGAGGTCATCCAAACATAGCCCTCAATGCTCTCTAATGCTTGTTTGGGAATTGTTAGCTCGTCGATTACATTCATATTACCGTCCTGCTGCATTTCGTATCTGATCTTTGAACCAATCCATAGCTCGTCAATGAAAACATGGCTGTATGTTTCCCATTTTAACTGAGCTTGCTGGTCTTCAAAGGCCTTGCGATGTTCCCCCTCTAACTCAACTGTCAGTACATCCACACACATTTCCTTGTTATCGTTGTTATCGTTGAAAAATTTTCTCATGACATTAGGAAAGACGTTTTTTCTGTCACCGTGGATCAAGTATAAAATCTTTTTTCCAGGTGGCAACTTCTCTGCGAGTATGAGAGCCTTGGCCTTCATCAACTCTGTCTTCCCACTCCCTGGCCCACCGATGATAAGCTGTTTCTTTGGTCCATCAAACACGGCAAGCTGATCCATTGTAAACACGGGTGCCCATCGCTTCTTGAGAGGAAGGGCCAGAATCCTGACATTTCCTCCGGCCAGGTTTTCACACAGTTCTCTGTCCAGATTTGTGCAGCTTTCCCCTTCTAGAAATCCACTTTGGCTTTTGTCTAATAACTTCGAGAGCTCATTTAGTCCGGTAACATTATCTGCTTTGGCTAAACCTAGGTCTGTCAGAGTTTTGGCCGTGTCAACTATTATATCTTTCTTCTTTGCATCAGTAACTCTATTCATGAATCTGGTTATGCTGTCAATGTCAATGATGTACACTGTCCAAAGGTACTGGAATATCTTTGTGTCTTCACCGGCCATCTTGTTCCCCAGAAGGAACTTTTTATCAGAAAGATGTTCATTAAGAACCTTCAAAAGGTTTGCCTCAGAAGCAGTAACATTGATGCTGTTAAGGGTGTGCAAAGCTTCTTTGCATGAAACTTTGGCAATAGGGAGATTGACCTGAGACATCATGTACTTGCACCAGCGAAAGAGATGGGGGTTTTCAACTTCCTTGATCCTGCGGAAGCGTCCACTAGCCAAGTTTCCCAGATGCTTGAAGGTGTCTAAGGTATAGCTTATGTCAGCTGTGTATTCAGACTCAGTTACAGGGCCAAGATGTCGTACAGCCAAGATTCTTGATAAGGCCAATTCATAGGCCTTGTTGGTGATGTCTGGGGTGGAGGCCATCCAGGGAGGTGATTCAATGTTGTCATACCACCATTTTGAAAAGCTCTCCGGACTTGCAAGATCTTCCTCATACATTAATAAAGTGTCATCCACGTGAGCATGTGGACTACCTCTCTTCGTGGAAGGAAGAGCAATAACCATCATCACTGGAGGTGGCTCCAAGCGATCAGATTGTTCATCGCTGGAATTGTTCACTACAGCGAAAGCTTCAACAACTGTCCTGGTTCTATCCAGTTGGGCTTTAGCCTCAATGATTTTAGATCCTAGTAATTCTTTCTCAGACTTCTTCAAACTCTTAACCTCGAGTAGAATGACGCCTTTTTTATGGTGAAAGATGACAAAGTCGCTTTCTCCTGTTTTATCTACTTTATCTGACTTAGGCACGGAATCTTCACTTTTGCATCTAGTATTCCACTTGGTAATCTCTGTAAGGTCAAATCCATGAATGACAAACATGCCCAGGTTCTTTGCTCGGCCATTTTTTTGCAGATGATCGTACACAAGTTTCTCTCCTTGTCTTCCTCTTATATTGACGTCATCTTCATCAGCATATTTGCCATCTTTTGAAATTGTGTAGCCTGATTCAGTGGGTTTGTAGGCGGGAGGAACCATGATAGTCTTGTTGTTGGTCTTCCAATTGGGAAATTGCCAGTAAAGAAACTTTTGAGGACTGCCAAGTTCACCCACCGTCTTCTCACCACCACCAAATTCCTTTGCTGGGCAGCCAAGGGCTCCTGGCACAAGGCCTTTTATTGAATTACTTGTATTCTGAGTATTCATCATTTGAAATCAGATTCCATGCAATGGGTACGTAATCTGCAAAAACCAAATGTTAATACACTTATGCAATGTGGTCTTATGAAAGTGATGGTCAAATGATTAAAATCATTGAATCAAGGAACACAAGTCATTTGAGTTGCATGATTGCTGAAATTGGGTTTTGGAGATGTACTAAATGAGGAACTGAGTAAGAGAACGTTACAATTATCTCCTGCATTGAGATTGTTTCGCCTTAGAGTGGTTTCGCCGAATAACAGTTCGCTGTCGTCTTAGGACAGTTCTTAATCGGCGCAGCTGGCGGTTTTGAGTGTGCTCAATCGATTAGTAACTCGTCAGTAGCCCACACAAAACCTTGAAGTACAGGCAAAGCCTTACTTAAAATCACTGAGCACGAGTTGGCCCGCACAGATCCCAACGGGCAAAACAAAGGTCTTCTGAAAGTTGTCATACGTATCTCAGCTATCGATCCAGGCCCCCTCTAGCAGGTTTCCTTATTCGCTTGCGCTTGATACACTTTCCATATTTATAGCCGCAAGCCTCGTTTATACTGCTGTCGGTCTCGTCTGTTTGTCCTTAAGCCTTCCACATTGCGTACATCGGTAATTTAAAGTGGCTACCACCTCGCAAAAGTGACTGAGCGTTTTGTCATACCTTCGAATCCCTGATGTTACGGATTGGCTGTCTTTGCGTTCTCATGACAAGAAAGGAAAAGTGCAGCCTGATTTCTAAAATTAGCAAGATGTTTATCATCGCGGCGTTAATTAATCATAATTGTTCTGTGACTTGTCAATTTTTCTTACCTCTTAAGTCTCTAAAAGCAAAAGCCAAAACCAGCATAGACACGAAGCTCGGGATAAGGATCATAAAATTCTGGTATCTTTGTACAACACGTTTTTAAGGTGGTCACCGCATATATTATGCTCACGCGGTGGTTAATTCAGTCAAGCGACGAAAGGGTCACCGAGGCGTAACACTCTGCTGTGTCACGAAAATTTCCTCGATAGCCTTGTGATCAACAGTAAGCTACGTTTGCTTCGGTGCATGTGATGTAATTATTAGGAACAAACACATGGAATTGTCTCTTATGGAATTTCTTTTCCGCGCGAAACTTCCTTCGATCAAACAGCCATTGTAAATTCAGGGAAGCGTTTAGTTTCAATCTTGAAGATAATTTGCATAGGCGGAGCAGTTACACAAGTTCCGCCGATGAAAAAACAGCTGGGTCAAGTAAACTTCTGATCACTAAAAAGGACTTGATGCACAAAGTTTGTCATTTTTTCATGTGGAGGCCCAAGACCTTTGGACTTTACTAATCATTAACTAACGTGAAACGCTAGCGCGTTCCAGAAATGTTTCGAGGAATTGTGTGTTAAGTAGTCAAATCTGTTTTCATCTTTGCATTTGATTGAATCAGTAAAATCGTGGTAGTTCAAGGGTCTCTCATGTGATTTGATTACGTATTGTAATCTTCCAGTTCTGTGAAATAGCTAGGACTGTATTAAAACGAATCATTGCGAGTGTCACGATACATCAGTGAAATGCCTATTTGGTTGCAAGCGAAAGGACTTTGATGTCACGACGTTGTCGAACTGGTTATTGGCGGAATCTCTCGTAGGCGGAACGATTGGTAACCCCTCTTGCATCAGCTATGAGAAATAACAGCCTTAGATCGGCTCAACTGGTAACAATTGAGTAGAATTATGCAATTTAAGACCGATACCGTCACCCCTCTCTAAAGCATACTAAAGTATAATTTCCTTTCCCGAATGTTTTGGATGCTGTTCCTTGAAACGAACTAACATGTCTTTTCTTCAATTAAATTTTATGGAGCAAGATACTAAAATGTTATATACTTTAAACTAGTGATTCATTTTGCGTACAATTGAAGTGTTTATGCTTATAATTTATGTAAAAGTGCTCTAACTTTACATGGAGGAGCGCTATTACAGCTGAAGCAAATTTCCAATCCTGTCTATTTTTTTTTTTTTTTTTTTTTCATGTTCCTTCTCTGAAATATCTTTATTGTAACCTACTTGCGAGGCTTATAAATCTTTCTCGTGTTACGTGGGTAAACTTACAAAGGATTACTGAAAATACTTACTAGTTCGTCCTTCATAGTTACGTGGCCATGTTAGATCAAACGTTGAGAATAAACTTGATGGAGCGTGACGGCTACCTTGTTCCCAGGGTCGTTCTATATTTATCGAGCGCTTTTGTAAAAGGTAATTTCCGACATCTTTTGATGTTTGATTTTAGTGGGATGCGCAGACGCAGTAAGGTGAAACGCAGCTACATCAGGAGATTTCTCCTAGGGAACCCTTGCCATGGGAATCGAAAGGAATCATATAATTTTGCACCAGTCAGCCAATGAATACCCTTCTATGGAAATATCTAAAAAAAAAAAGAAATAAAGAAGAAGAAAGAAGAGAAAAAGGAAGAAAGAAAAAAACACACACGGGCCATTGAGATCCTCTGATGTCGATAAATAATTTACTGTACATAACGCTAATTACCGATGAATATTTATATCTCTAGATCCAGCAAAGTTCCGGGGGCGAAAGAAAGTACAAAGGTCCACTAAATTGTGCCAAACAACTTTACAAGGAAAAAGGAATAAGGTCTTTGTATAGGGGAACGTTCGCAACTCTTCTAAGAGGTGTGTACTTAAATTTAGTGACTGTTAGCTCGCTAGCAGGCCCCCCATTATAAGCGCTGCAGGACGCGCGTTTCTCCGCCCGCGGGAAGATTTGACACGAGTCGCACTGCTTAAGGCCTCATACGGCTTTCCCGCAGGAGAAGATAGTTTAAATTCTTGGAATTATAGTTCCAAACTTCTGCCCCTTTTACTTGAAGGTTCTTATATAATAAATCAAGAGTACTGTACTTGTAGAAATTGCTTAAGTTTCAAGATATCTCATTTTGATTTTTATGTTGTGTTTCATAGATGTGCCAAGTATAGGGGTATACTTCTGCAGCTATGAATGGATTCTTAGCAAACTTACATTAGAAGGCGAAAGGTTAGTTACTAGTTTCTAGTCACTACTGTCAAATCCCGCTGACAGGTCAAGTAAAACTAAATCAAAGTTATAATAACCGCTGATCAGAAGAAAGGAAAATACCCTGAAGAGCCAATGAGAATTCAACTGAGAATAAACAAATTGCCTAAAGCGCGGGAAAACGCGGGCAACCAAGTCGTGGTTGGCTTTAGTTTTGCAACTGATTGGTTGAGAGAATGGCGCGAGTTTTCTGGACCAATTACAAAGCGAAGTAAAGCAAGACTCATGCAACCCATGCAATGGATTACTTTATTTACTCAACCGAATATTGATTGAAGTTTTGAATCTGATTTGTTGAGAAAACGGTGCATTTTTTCGAGGCCAATCAGAGTGAAGTACATCGAAACCGTAGTAGCACTTGATTACTTTCAGCTACACTCAATTTAACTGAAATGTCTCTATTCGAAAGAAATTCTCTTGGCGCCAGAACACGAAAAGTTTTGTGACGCATCCCTATTAAATACCCTCGCCATTTAAGTGGCCATTTAGAATCCCAAGCTTAAGTTTTCGCCATGTTTGTTACAGTGTTGCAGCTTCTAAACATTTCTCTCTTTATTTTATTATTTTCAGCCGCGAAAATTTAAACCCACTTAGAATTTTTATAGCTGGAGGTAAGTGCCTTTTGAGTTAGTTATTCCAGTTGACGTATCTACCCTTTTTTGTGTACAAATTTCGGGCTATTTTATATGTGCGCTAAAGAAAAAATTGGACAAAATCCTCTCGGACGATGTTATGTTATGAGCAGATTAAAATGGTGACCGCATTTCAAACGTGGCGAAGAAAAAGATTTTATCAAGGAAACCTCCAGCTAATAGATTTGAACTCGCTTTATTTAATATCCTGCCCTGCTGGCGACTCCGTTTGACGGCCAGGTAACGATATTTAGTTCGGGTTAAAACTAAAACAGAAAGTTACAAGAAATGAAACTTGAAAAGAAGATTGAAATTTACTAATGACTCTTACCTTTATTGCTGCGTTTACCTAAGGCTGCACTGGATGCGATGTTGAACTGTCATTTACAAGAACGAACTACTGTCTCTAACGAGCGAAACTAACAAACTGGGAGACTACTTGAATCAAGTTTAGATACTAATACGAATAAATTACTCAACACTTTTTTTATCGCGATATTCTACGAATCTGCAATTAATTAGCATCAGCATTTAGCTGTAGTTAAAATATTTTTCATTCAATTTGGAACGCGGAAAATACCATTAATGTAGCCAGGAGGGAAAAAAACCCACGTAAGGAGAAAATCTTAAAATAAGCCCGTTCCAATTGTTAAGTGGCAAAATTCGTTTACGATTTTCACTGGCGATATAATATTTTCGCAATCTTAGTTTTAAATCGCCTAGTGTGTTGTTGGCTCAACAGTTAAGCAAATAGTATTGAGAACTTTAATACTACACAGCAATTTTCTCGTGCATGATATTTGTGCAATAATGGTGGGTTTTAATGACGAGCTTTTTGACTGGATTAGGTTTGACCGGTATGATCTGCTGGGCTTCCATTATCCCTGTTGATGTACTCAAGTCACGTTATCAAACAGGTAAGTAAGTCAATAGTCTACCAGGCTACTAACTCATGTGTAGCCAGCGAGTGCAGACGCACTACTTATTGCTTCTATCCGCCTGGAAATATGTCTGTGTTCACAGGCTAACTGTTGGAATATTAAACAGCACCCTTTGGCAAAGATACGTAAGTTTTCAAGCAAATTCAACCGGATGTTACCAAGCGTAGCCAATCAGATTGCGGTATTCTCGATGAAACGCGAGTGAAATTAAATCAAAGCAAGTTATCGGGGATCAAATATATATAAAATAAATATTCCATCTTCCCTAGCTTGGGTCCATTTGTCTCCTTGTCTCTTCTCTTTGCTCGCGGGGTCAGGCGGTTGGACACAGGATTTGGACGGATTTGATTTGCCTATCTGCAATTGTAATTTCATAACTTTGCATTTTTTATGGCGGACGCATCAACGTTGCTTTGTGCAAAGATCGAATTAGCTCAATTTTCGGCACCTGATTTGTTAAAAACTGAGACAAATTACTCACAGAGTAACAATAAAAAGAATACTGAACTTCACAATTTTCTGGTTTTCTAGAGCTAGCTTTCTTTCTATCTTTAAATTTTCCTCACCACGAATTTCTGGATTCCATCTCTTTTTGAGATAATCTCCTTCTTGCAACAGGTTCTGGTTTCATTCAGATGATTCCTTCCGTTCATTTCAATTTGTCTTTAATTTTTGGGGAGGGATGTGAGTTCCTTCCTTATATTTCCTACGAATACCTTGGGTTCAGAGTGTAGGGAAATCCGCTTCACTCCTGCTTCGCGCACGCTTCTCCTGCTTTGCTGGAAGGAAACGGAAGCTACCGCCATGAAGGCTGCCTAATTGGGCTCGTGATCCGGCACAGTGAGTCATAACTAAAGTGGAAACCAAATTAATTACAAGTGACTTTCCTCTTATACCTGAGAGAGTAAGGGGAAAGTAGTAGACCCTTGTGACATACAAATTGCAACACTGCAAATCTTCTTTCGAGGCTTTAGAGTATTGAGGCATGAAGGTAGAAGATCAGTTATGGTCATCTTGTTATGGTGAAGTTTGGAATTTTGACCATCTATCCTTCACTCTACTTTTATGAAACAATCTATCCCTTTCTATGCGTAAAGGGGAAACGAGCGGAGCCTGAGAAGCTATCATTTTATACATGCTCTCATTGAAATGATATATTTTTTAATCCAATCTCGGTCTCCTTAAGCGGCTATTTCAAGAACTAATCTTATATCTCATGCTTAACCTGTTGAGCTGGTGTGTTGGCTTTGTGATAAAGCACATGGTCATACTGTCGATGGCTGGATTTCTCACAAGCGTCTCGTAATTTTATGTGATATTTCTGGAAATTTAACTGACAGATACCATCACCTTATTCTCTCACGTTTTACTTACAGCACCCGAAGGAACTTACCCCCGAGGAATTAGAGATGCTTTAAGACAATTAGTAAGTATCCAATTTTTCCAGAAAAAGGGTTTCCGCTTTTCCAAGCAAAACCTATGAGGTAGTTTGATGTGTAGGGCGTAGCTCCCTCAACCCCTCTCTGTGATCTTTTGTAAGCTGCGTTGGGGGTGGGAATGAGGTACTTCCTTTTTTGACCTTGTCCGAGACAAGTTTGAGTCGATAAAAGAAGGTATGATTTTTGCGGTCTTAAATCTTACAGGGGTAAAAAACCCTTTAGAGTCCTAAACAGGTGGTTCATTCGCACCGAAAGTTTCGGTGAGGGTGTGAGTGTAGGCTGTCCATGGCCTTTATGTGCGGTATTGATATTTTTCCTTTTTCATCTGGGTTGAAATGTTCTCCTCGAATATTCGAACGAGACATGGCTCGTGAGGTCAGCTTGCCACAGGGATGTAACGATTTTTGTTACCAAGAGGGTAGCGTAGTGCACCAGTGATATATTACACAGGGCAGGGGTTTGTGCCATACCGCCAGTATACCTCTTCCCGACCCGTCTGAAATCTTCTCGCGGAACAACGCACGTCCTGCAGTGCTAATAATAAGTGCCAGCTTACAGGCTACTATCAGCAAGGCACAGCTAACACGATGGCAAATAGGCTCTCCACATAGATACATTTGGTGAGATGCAAGTATTGCTTTGCCTTTCCCACAATTACTTAGTTGATTCAAGGTGAATGTGATTGGGTGTGCTGTTGGTGAGAAAACTGACGCTCGTACTAGCAGCTCGTGTTTGGAGAAACGCTCGTCTTTATGAACAACTGTAGTATGTACACTTGTATTTCGCTCACCCCATGACGTATCTGCTTTTGTTTTAGGTGAAGGAAGAAGGAGTTGCGAGTTTATTCAAAGGAGTAACTCCAGTCTTACTACGAGCTTTCCCTGCAAACGCGGTGAGCCAAATTCTAGCGACAGCAAATATTTGAATGACGTCCCTCACTATCGCTATTTATGGAGCAAGGATGTCCTAGGGGTGTTGACGTGGATTAGGTTATTAGTAGAGTTAGTGAAAAGATTTCGAGAGCAATTTGGTGTTACTATGCACGAGTAAATTTTTCCAAGACAACAAAATGGCACGAGCCCGTAGTCTTTGAAAAATTTACAAGTGTTCATTTTCATCAAATTGCACGAGAAATTATGTTACTACTTGGTAATGATTAAAGTTTTAAAAGCATAACAGATTGTCAAGACACAAAATGTTGACAGCGCTCGTGTTACATTAAAAATGCACTCGTTTTCAGGCAACAGAAGCGCGTAACTTTTTCGTGTCTGTCATAACTATAGCAATTTCCAATTAAGTGTCGAAAGCGTGGAGGGGGAAGCTACTTCCCATAAATTCCTTAAATGAAATCAAAACGATGTTTTCACAACTTGCAAAGCAATCTCACTGGAAATTGTCAGCGGATATCTCCATTGCAGACGAGCATTACGAGTTATTAATGAAAGCCATGGCAGTTAAGTTAGGAAATAACTGCCAGGCTGGTTATTTTCAAGGATCCGAATACGCCTTTCGTTTTGTAACGAACAACAGGCCGGGATCATTAATTACTTATTAATTTTATCGCTGTTTTTCTCGGCTGATTTCTGCAGCTTGATTTTAGGTAGGCCTTTGCATTGTGACACTTGCAAAACTACAGTAGTAAATAAAGAATTTATTTACTACTTACAGGCCCGTGAATTGACCGCTTTGCAAGTTGTGTAATCATCGTTTCTCAGTCCCACTCTCCTTATCAATCAATCAGATTAAGCACTAAAACCTGGTCGCCTGTGGTTGTTTTCACTTTATGGTCCCATGGCCTCTTAAAGGTTTTTCCTTTCAGTGGATTGGCCTTTGTGATCACTTTGGCTTTGGTTTTGCGACACTAAGTCGAATAGCGGTCTATAGGACTAAAGAGGGTCGATTTAGTGTGAGGAGGTGTACTACGTGTTTCATTATTTTTGCTTTTTAATGCATTTTTTTATTATCTTGAATTTGTTCCTTTGCCTAGGGTCTTTTTCTTGGTTACGAAGTCGCCATGAAGACTTTTAGCTGGATTTTACCGGAATAAGGCGGAGAAAAATGTTCTGGATGTTTTAACGCTTCAACTGACCAACTAATTACACCTCACTTTCTCTCCGACATTGAAATTGCGGCTCATCGAAAGATACCGCTCATCGTGATTTGCAATGAAATTCTTCTAACCAATGACATAAACTGTGCGAAGACCATTGAGGAGAGTTTGTGTTTACGTCAGTGTTTTAAACAGTCATTCCTGGAGTTGCTCTGATAAAGTTATTATATCTTATCTTCTCTCTAATATCATACAAATGATCTATCAATCAAGAAACTGACTTCCTTGTGTTGGGTGGATCTCTGCAAACCTCGTTATGACGCCGAGGCAAAGGCAATTGTTTTCCACGTTGTGGAGCTGGATTTATCTATGTACACTCCGGTCTGCAATTATGGTTTGTATTTACGCGGTGTGTTGTATAGACTGGAAGGATTCTAGACCGATAGACTGGAAATAAAAGCTGGTTTCTATATATCAAATGTCTCACACAATAAAGGAGTTTATTCTCCCTCTCTCGTTAAATGTATAAAAAACAGTATGGAGAATGCCAATACTGATGTTAGGGTGTAAAGGGTTACTGCTGCAAATGCGGCCCTTTCCGCTTATTGAGAAGTGATTTAGAGAAAAAAAAATATTTTTGCGTGGTCCACGCAAGCAATTTATTAACGTAAGGAAAGGACACAAAACGAATTATACACGAAAGTTGTTGACGGAGTTTCAGAGGACATCATTTTGCATTTCGCTTTTGTAGCAATTTCGAAAAACAAATTCCTGTTCATGACTCTACGTACAATACTTTCTGCAAACGTAAGTCGTGGAACGGAAAAAGAAGTGACACGTTTGTGATCGGTGATTGAACCAGTAGGTTTTTTCGCATTTATTTTCGGGCTATATTATGTGTGCGCTTAAAAAAATTGGACAAAATGCTCTCGGACGGTGTTATGCGCAGAATAAAGGGATGAGCGCATTTCGAAGGTGGCGAAGCAAAAGAGTTTATCAAGGAAACCTCCAGCTGATAAATTTGAACTCGCTTTAAAAAAAAATTATTTAATATCCTGCCCTACTAGCGACTCCGTTTAACGGCGGGTTAAACGATTTTAACTTCGGGTTAAAACTTAAACAGAAAGTTACAAGAAATGAAACTCGAAGGCCGCATTGGATGCGATGTTGAACTGTCATTTGCAAGAACGAACTACTGCCTCCAAAGAGCGAAACTAACAAACTGGGAAACTACTTGAATCAAGTGTAGATACTAATACAAATAAATTAATTAACATTTTATCGCGATATTCTACAAATTTGCAATTGCAACGTGCGCTCTAAGTTAATTAGCTACAGCATTTAGCTGTAGTTTAAATATTTTTTATTCAATTTGGAACGCGGAAAATACCCTTGATGTAGACAGGAGGAAAAAAACTTACGTGAGGAAAAAATCTCAAACCCATTGCAATTTTTAAGTGGCAAAATTCGTTTACGATTTTCACTGGCGATAAAATACTTTCGCAATCTTCGTGTTCAATCACCTTGTGTGTTGCTGGCTCGACAGTTAAGCAAACAGTGTTGAGAACTTTTACACTCCTCCATGATATTTGTTCAATGATGGATGGGTTTTAATGACGTGCTCTTTGACTGGATTGGGTTTGACGGGTATGATCTGCTGAGCTTCGTTATCCCTGTTGATGTACTCAAGTCACGTTATCAAACAGGTAAGTAAGTCAGTAGTCTACGAGGCAACTAACGCATGTGTAACCAGCGAGTGCAGACGCACTACTTGTTGCTTCTATCCGCCTGGAAATATGTCTGTGTTCACAGGCTAACTGTTGGAATATTAAAAAGCACCCTTTGGCAAAGATACGTAAGTTATTCAACAAATTCAACCGGATGTACCAAGTGTAGCCAATCAGATTGCGGTATTTTTTATTAAACGCGAGTGAATTTAAATCAAAACAAGTTATCAAGGATCAAATATATATTAAATAAATATTCCATCGTCCCTAGCTTGGGTCCATTTGTCTCCTTGTCTCTTCTCTTTGCTCTCGGGGTCAGGCGGTTGGACACAGGACTTGGACGGATTTGATTTGCCCATCTGCTAATTGTAATTTCATAACTTTGCATTTTTTTATGGCGGAACACATCAACGACGCTTTATATATGATCTGTGTAAAGATCAAATTAGCTCAATTTTGATTGGCTGGAGAACATTAAGCTGTCAGAAAGTTCCGCATGATAAATGATACATTCCGATTTCTGGGAATCAAAAAATAGTCTCATCGTTCGATGAGCAACCGTGTTGCGATGGAATCGTTTTTGAAAAACCTCCAGGAGCAAGTGACTTGTTCGATTTGCCTCGATACCTACAAGGAACCCAAGATCATATCTTGCCTTCACACATTTTGTTGCAATTGTCTCAAGAGACATGCACTAACCAGCCAAAGAAACGGCAAATATCGATGTCCCGAATGCCAAGCGCCAATCAATTTACCCAAAGACAACCGCTTCGACAGTTTGCAGACCAGTTTCTTCCACAATAGTCTTTTGGGTATCCTTGCAGTTCGGCAGATTGGCGATGGAAGGAGTATTACTTGTTCACAGTGTAGGAAAAATAATACTCAAATGCATTACTGTTTCGACTGTGAACGCTTCATGTGCCCTGACTGTCTAAATGCACATGAAGTATTAAAGGCTTCGTTCGAAGGTCACAAAGTGATTTCGGTGGAAGAGTTTAAAGCAGAAGATTACGAGGCGTTGTTAAGACGGCAACCGTTTTGCTCCCAGCAGTTTCACGAAAAGGAAATCATGCGATTCTTTTGTATTCCGTGTCAAAGTTGCGTTTGCCATATTTGCATAGCCACGGATCACCGAAACCATGAAGTTGTTGTACTCGACAAAGCGGCCCACGAGGAGAGTCAAAATATTATCGCCGGCGCAGAGTACATCAAAGACAAGATAAAGGAACTAAATGCGAACATTCGACAACTTGAAGAAACGACCTCCGTGATGGAAAGTAATTTTATGAAAGCTAAGCGTGAAGTCACGTTAGCTGCGGAACAGATAATCACGCAGATCCGTGCGCGCGAGCGAGAGCTGATTACCTCCATCGAGACTACGCGCGCGAAGAGACTCGAGCAAATCAGTTCCGCCAAACAAAATATATTTTCTCTACTCAAACAATTGAACCAAGCGGTGGACTTCGCTGATAATGTAGTGAAGAGAAGCTCAAGCAGGGATATCATGCAAAATAAAGGTACTTTGACACAGAGATTCGAGGAGTTGCGTGATATCTTTCCCGAAGTTCCTGAACGTCGCGACACTGTTTGTGTTAAATTTACTGCAGCCTCCATGGCGGGCCTGAAACTGGGATCTGTTCAGATGACAGAAAAGGCAGATATGAAGAAATCAACACTTCAAGGAATAGATCAAACCTTACGGGCTGGTGTAGAAGTAGACTATTTATTGTGCCCCAAAACAACTTCTGGAGAGATATGTGACTTGGAGTCAAATCAAATTGAGTTTCTGGTTGAGCCCGCTGATGATGTGTCTATGACATCTGTACACGAGAACGACGAAGGAACATTCCAAATAAAATTTACACCCAAAGTGCCTGGAGATTACAGTTTGAGAGTAAAAATAAATGGCGAGAAACTTTCTGTTTGTCCAGTAACTGTGCAAGTGAAAGAATGTGAGCTTGTTGTGGACGGTGAACTGGATCTGACAAATTTCTCTGATGCGGAACTAAAAGGACCCTTCGGTATCGCACTCAATGCGGAAGGAACTATGGCAGTGTCCGATCTTCATGGCCAGAGCGTTTATGTATTTGACAGTGAAGGAACCTTTCTGCAAAAAATCGGCAAGTTTAAACAACCTTTCGATGTTGTTTTTGTTAATGATGAAGAAATTCTTGTCTCGGATTGTGACGATCACAGAATATATCAGTATAATACTCGAACAGGACTGTACATAAAAGAATTTGGAAAAGGAGGGTTTAAGAATCCAGTGGGACTTTCCATGGATGACAAAGAGCAAATTGTCGTTTCTGACTTCGGTAATAATAGAATAAAAGTTCTGGCTAAAGATGGTGAGAATATTTTTACGTTTGGAAACATTGGACGGGAAAAACTCCTTCATCCTTTGAGCTGTGTTAGTCATAAAAACCGATTCTTTGTGTCTGACTTTGACCATTACTGCATCAAAGTGTTCAACCAGACAGGACAATTTTTATATAAATTTGGAAGAAAAGGAATGGAAAACGGACAGTTTGATAGACCTTCTGGGCTGCATGTAGACAGGCACGATTGTCTTCTTGTATGTGACCAGGGAAGTGGCAGATTTCAAAAGTTTTCTCTTGAAGGTCGTTTTATTGGCAAGTGCACTACTCCTGGGTTAGAAAACCTGAATGGGGTCGCGGAAATGCCAGATGGACGCATTCTCGTTACAAGCACAAGGTCTAAAAAAGTGTATATTATGATAACGAAGTAGTTACCCTTATCAATAAGGCCGTTTTTAGTAGTGAGTATTATCGAGTTTGAGTTGTTTTTTTAAGTCTGCTTTGTACCGGTTAATAGTCGTTAATATGATATAAAGACTGAAGGAAACTTAACCAAATTGAATTCAACAGTTTGTGAGTAGTATAGGGTGAACCTCTCAACGACCTACCAATCTCCGTTTTAGATTCTGCTCCCACGAAAATAAAAAACACGTTAAGTGATAGTAACTTTACGCCGAGTATTCGTCACCTGATTTGTTCAAAACTGAGGCAAATTACTTCCAGAGTAACAATAAAAAGAATACTGAACTTCACAATTTTCTGGTTTTCTAGAGCTAGCTTTCTTTCTATCTTTAAATTTTCTTCACCACGAATTTCTGGATTCCATCTCCTTTTGAGATAATCTCCTTCTTGCAACAGGTTCAGGTTTCATTCAGATGAGACCTTCCGTGCATTTCAATTTGTCTTGAATTTTTGGGAAGGGCTGCGAGTTCCTTCTTTATATTTCCTACGAATACCTTGGGTTAAGAGTGTAGCGAAATCCGCTTCACTCCTGCTTCGCGCACGCTTCTCCTGCTCTGCTGGAAGGAAACGGAAGCTACCGCCATGAAGGCTGCCTAATTGGGCTCGTGATCCGGCACAGTGAGTCACAACTAAAGTGGAAACCAAATTAATTACAAGTGACTTTCCTCTTATACCTGAGTGAGTAGGGGAAAGTAGTTGACCCTTGTGACATACAAATTGCAACATGGTAAATCTTTTTTCGAGGCTTTAGAGTATTGAGGCATGAAGGTAGAAGATCAGTTATGGTCATCTTGTTATGATGAAGTTTGGAATTTTGACCATCTATGCTTCACTCTACTTTTATGAAACAATCTGTCCCTTTCTATGCGTAAAGGGGAAACGAGCGGAGCCTGAGAAGCTATCATTTTATACATGCTCTCATTGAAATGATATATTTTTTAATCCAATCTCGATGCGCGGTCTCATTAAGCGGCTATTTCAAGAACTAACCTTATATCTCATGCTTAACCTGTTGAGCTGGTGTGTTGGTTTCGTGATATAGCACATGGTCATACTGTCGATGGCTGGATTTCTCACAAGCGTCTCGTAATTTTATGTGATATTTCTGGAAATTTAACTGACAGATACCATCACCTTATTCTCTCACTTTTTACTTACAGCACCCGAAGGAACTTACCCCCGAGGAATTAGAGATGCTTTTAGACAATTAGTAAGTACCCAATTTTTCCAGAAAAAGGGTTTCTGCTTTTTCCAAGCAAAACCTATGAGGTTGTTCGATGTGTAGGGTGTAGCTCCCTCAACCCCTCTCTGTGATCTTTTGTAGGCTCCGTTGGGGGTGGGAATGAGGCACTTCCTTTTTTGGCCTGGACAAGTTTGAGTCAATAAAAGAAGGGTATGATTTTTGCAGTCTTAAATCTTAAACAGGGCGTAAAATTTCACCCTTTAGAGTCCTAATCAGGTGGTTCCTTCGCACCGAAAGTTTCGGTGAGGGTGTGAGTGGAGGCTATCCATGGCCTTTATGTGCGGTATTAATATTTTTCCTTTTTCATCTGAGTTAAAATGTTTTCCACGGATATTCGAACGAGACATGGCTTGTGAGGTCAATTTGCTACAGGATGTAACGATTTTTGTTGCCAAAAGGGTAGCGAAGTGCACCAGTGATATATTAAACAGGACAAGGGTTTGTGCCATACCCCCAGTAAACTTCTTCCCGACCCGTCTGAAATCTTCCCGCGGCGGAACAACGCACGCCCTGCAGTGCTAATAATAAGAGCCAGCTTACAGGCTACCATCAGCAAGGCACAGCTAACACGATGGCAAATAGGCTCTCCACATAGATACATTTGGAGAGATGCAAGTATTGCTTTGCCTTTCCCACAATTACTTAGCTGATTCAAGGTGAATGTGATTGGGTGTGCTGTTGGTGAGAAAACTGACGCTCGAGCTAGCAGCTCGTGTTTGGAGGAACGCGCGTCTTCATGAACAACTGTAGTATGTACACTTGTATTTCGCTCACCCCATGACGCATCTGCTTTTGTTTTAGGTGAAGGAAGAAGGAGTTGCGAGTTTATTCAAAGGAGTAACTCCAGTCTTACTACGAGCTTTCCCTGCAAACGCGGTGAGCCAAATTCTAGCGACAGCAAATATTTGAATGACGTCCCTTACTATTGCTATTTATGGAGCAGGAATGTCTTAGGGGTGTTGACGTGGATTAGGTTATTAGTAGAATTAGTGAAAAGATTTCGAGAGCAATTTGGTGTTACTAAGCACGAGTAAATTTTTCCAAGACAACAAAATGGCACGAGCCCGTAGTCTTTGAAAAATTTACAAGTTTTCATTTTCATCAAATTGCTCGAGAAATTATGTTACTACTTGCTAATGATTAAAGTTTTAAAAGCATAACAGATTGTCAAGAGACACAAAATGTTGACAGCGCGCGCTATTTGTAATTTGCACTCGTGTTACATGAAAAATGCACTCGTTTTCAGACAACAGAAGCGCGTAACTTTTTCGTGTCTGTCATAACTATAGCAATTTCCAATTAAGTGTCGAAAGCGTGGAGGGGGAAGCTACTTCCCATAAATTCCTCAAATGAAATCAAAACGATGTTTTCACAACTTGCAAAGCAATCTCACTGGAAATTGTCGGCGGATATCTCCATTGCAGACGAGCATTACGAGTTATTAATGAAAGCCATGGCAGCTAAGTTAGGAAATAACTGCCAGGCTTTATTTTCAAGGATCCGAATACGCCTTTCGTTTTGTAACGAACAACAGGCCGGAATCATTAATTACTTATTAATTTTATCGCTGTTTTTCTCGGCTGATTTCTGCAGCTTGATTTTAGGTAGGCCTTTGCATTGTGACACTTGCAAAACTACAGTAGTAAATAAAGAATTTATTTACTACTTACAGGCCCGTGAATTGACCGCTTTGCAAGTTGTGTAATCATCGTTTCTCAGTCTCACTCTCCTTACCAATCAATCAGATTAAGGACTAAAACCTGGTCGCCTGTGGTTGTTTTCACTTTATAGTCCCATGGCCTCTTAAAGGTTTTTCCTTTCAGTGGATTGGCCTTTGTGATCACTTTGGCTTTGGCTTTGCGACACTAAGTCGAATAGCGGTCTATAGGACTAAAGAGGGTCGATTTAGTGTGAGGAGGTGTACTACATGTTTCATTATTTTTGCTTTCGAATATCATTTTTTAATGCATTTTTTGATTATCTTGAATTTGTTCCTTTGCCTAGGGTCTTTTTCTTGGCTACGAAGTCGCCATGAAGACTTTTAGCTGGATTTTACCGTAATAAGGCGGAGAAAAATGTTCTGGATGTTTTAACGCTTCAACTGACCAACTAATTACACCTCACTTTCTCTCCGACATTGAAATTGCGGCTCATCGAAAGATACCGATCATCGTGATTTGCAATAAAAATTCTTCTAACCAATGACATAAACTGTGCGAAGACCATTGAGGAGAGTTTGTGTTTACGTCAGTGTTTTAAACAGTCATTCCTGGAGTTGCTCTGATAAAGTTATTATATCGTATCTTCTCTCTAATATCATACAAATGATCTCTCAATCAAGAAACTGACTTCCTTGTGTTGGGTGGATCTCTGCAAACCTCGTTATGACGCCGAGGCAAAGGCAATTGTTTTCCACGTTGTGGAGCTGGATTTATCTATGTACACTCCGGTCTGCAATTATGGTTTGTATTTACGCGGTGTGTTGTATAGACTGGAAGGATTCTAGACCGATAGACTGGAAAATAAAAGCTGGTTTCTATATATCAAATGTCTCGCACAATAAAGGAGTTTATTCTTCCTCTCTCGTTAAATGTATAGAAAACAGTATGGAAAATGCCAATACTGATGTTAGGGTGTAAAGGGTTACTGCTGCAAATGCGGCCCTTTCCGCTTATTGAGAAGTGATTTAGAGAAAAAAAAAAATTTTTGCGTGGTCCACGCAAGCAATTTATTAACGTAAGGAAAGGACACAAAACGAATTATACACGAAAGTTGTTGACGGAGTTTCAGAGGACATCATGTTGCATTTCGCTTTTGTAGCAATTTCGAAAACAAATTCCTGTTCATGACTCTACGTACAATACTTTCTGCAAACGTAAGTCGTGGAACGGAAAAAGAAGTGACACGTTTGTGATCGGTGATTGAACCAGTTAGGTGATGCAAATAAAAGTTTGTTCTATTCTAAGTTGTTCTATTTTATTCCTATATATAGAGCCAGAAATTATGAAAATGACTGTGTGCCAGTTTTGAGCTAGGCTTTAGCATTTCTTTTTTCTCTGTACAAAAAGGGCAAGCACCCCCTCCCCCACTCTCTTCTGTCCTTCCTTTCTTACCCTGCCGAAGATAATTTGGATTCCAATTCTTCTTTGTACAATATATTGAGTATGAAAAAAATATTTTAAAAAAAATTCCTTAATGACTGCTCACTATTTTTCGCATTTATTTTCGGGCTATATTATGTGTGCGCTTAAAAAAATTGGACAAAATGCTCTCGGACGGTGTTACGCGCAGAATAAAGGGATGAGCGCATTTCGAAGGTGGCGAAGCAAAAGACTTTATCAAGGAAACCTCCAGCTGATAAATTTGAACTCGCTTTAAAAAAATATTATTTAATATCCTGCCCTACTGGCGACTCCGTTTAACGGCGGGTTAAACGATTTTAACTTCGGGTTAAAACTTAAACAGAAAGTTACAAGAAATGAAACTCGAAGGCCGCACTGGATGCGATGTTGAACTGTCATTTGCAAGAACGAACTACTGCCTCCAAAGAGCGAAACTAACAAACTGGGAAACTACTTGAATCAAGTGTAGATACTAATACAAATAAATTACGCAACATTTTATCGCGATATTCTATAAATTTGCAATTGCAACGTGCGCTCTAAGTTAATTAGCTACAGCATTTAGCTGTAGTTTAAATATTTTTTATTCAATTTGGAACGCGGAAAATACCCTTGATGTAGACAGGAGGAAAAAAAATTAACGTGAGGAAAAAATCTCAAACCCATTGCAATTTTTAAGTGGCAAAATTCGTTTACGATTTTCACTGGCGATAAAATACTTTCGCAATCTTCGTGTTCAATCGCCTAGTGTGTTGCTGGCTCGACAGTTAAGCAAACAGTGTTGAGAACTTTTACACTCCTGCATGATATTTGTTCAATGATGGATGGGTTTTAATGACGTGCTCTTTGACTGGATTGGGTTTGACAGGTATGATCTGCTGAGCTTCGTTATCCCTGTTGATGTAGTCGAGTCACGTTATCAAACAGGTAAGTAAGTCAACAGTCTACGAGGCAACTAACGCATGTGTAACAGCGAGTGCAGACGCACTACTTATTGCTTCTATCCGCCTGGAAATATGTCTGTGTTCACAGGCTAACTCTTGAAATGTTAAACAGCACCCTTTGGCAAAGATACGTAAGTTATTCAACAAATTCAACCGGATGTTACCAAGCGTAGCCAATCAGATTGCGGTATTTTTGATTGAACGCGAGTGAAATTAAATCAAAGCAAGTTATCGGGGATCAAATATATATTAAATAAATATTCCATCGTTCCTAGCTTGGGTCCATTTGTCTCCTTGTCTCTTCTCTTTGCTCGCGGGGTCAGGCGGTTGGACACAGGATTTGGACGGATTTGATTTGCCCATCTGCTAATTGTAATTTCATAACTTTGCATTTTTTTATGGCGGGACACATCAACGACGCTTTATAAATGATCTGTGTAAAGATCAAATTAACTCAATTTTGATTGGCTGGAGAACATTAAGCTGTCAGGAAGTTCCACATGATAAATGATACATTCCGATTTCTGGGAATCAAAAAATCTGTGTTCCGCAGAAGTCTGATCGTTCGATGAGCAACCGTGTTGCAATGGAATCGTTTTTGAAAAACCTCCAGGAGCAAGTGACTTGTTCGATTTGCCTCGATACCTATAAGGAACCCAAGATCATATCTTGCCTTCACACATTTTGTTGTAATTGTCTCAAGAAACATGCACTAACCAGCCAAAGAAACGGCAGATATCGATGTCCCGAATGCCAAGCACCAATCGATTTACCCAAAGACAACCGCTTCGACAGTTTGCAGACCAGTTTCTTCCACAATAGTCTTTTGGGTGTCCTTGCAGTTCGGCAGATTGGCGATGGAAGGAGTATTACTTGTTCACAGTGTAGGAAAAATAATACTCAAATGCATTACTGTTTCGACTGTGGACGCTTCATGTGCCCTGACTGTCTGAATGCACACGAAGTATTAAAGGCTTCGTTCGAAGGTCACAAAGTGATTTCGGTGAAAGAGTTTAAAGCAGAAGATTACGAGGCGTTGTTAAGACGGCAGCCGTTTTGCTCCCAGCAGTTTCACGAAAAGGAAATCATGCGATTTTTTTGTATTCCATGTCAAAGTTGCGTTTGCCATATTTGCATAGCCACGAATCACCGAAACCATGAAGTTGTTGTACTCGACAAAGCGGCCCACGATGAGAGTCAAAATATTATCGCCGGGGCAGAGTCCATCAAAGACAAGATAGAGGAACTAAATGCGAACATTCGACAACTTGAAGAAACGACCTCCGTGATGGAAAGTAATGTTTTGAAAGCTAAGCGTGAAGTCATGGAAGCTGCGGAACAGATGATCACGCAGATCCGTGCGCGCGAGCGAGAGCTGATTAGCTCAATCGAGACTACGCGCGCGAAGAGACTCGAGCAAATCAGTTCCGCCAAACAAAATATATTTTCTCTACTCAAACAATTGAACCAAGCGGTGGACTTCGCTGATAATATAGTGAAGAGAAGCTCAAGCACGGATATCATACAAAATAAAGGTACTTTGACACAGAGATTCGAGGAGTTGCGTGCTATCTATCACGAAGTTCCTAAACATCGCGACATTGTACATGTTAAATTTACTGCGGCCTCCATGGCGGGCCTGAAACTGGGATCTGTGCAGATAACGGAAAAGGCAGATGTGAAGAAATCAACGCTTCAAGGAATAGATCAAACCTTACGGGCTGGTGTAGAAGCAGACTTTTTATTGTGCCCCAAAACATCTTCTGGAGAGTTATGTGACTCGGAGTCAAATCAAATTGAGTTTCTGGTTGAGCCCGCTGATGATGTGTCGATGACATCTGTGCACGAGAACGACGAAGGAACATTCCAGTTAAAGTTTACACCCATATTGTCTGGAGATTACAGTTTGGAAGTAAAAATAAATGGCGAGAAACTTTCTGTTTGTCCAGTAACTGTGCAAGTGAAAGAATGTGAGCTTGTTGTGGACGGTGAACTGGATCTGAATGTTTCCCTTGGTGATGAAATACAAGGACCCTTCGGTATCGCACTCAATGCGAAAGGAACTATTGTAGTGTCAGATTATTATGGCCACAGCGTTTATGTATTTGACAGTGAAGGAACCTTTTTGCGAAAAATCGGCCAATTTATACAACCTGTCAGTATTGTTTTTGTTAATGATGAAGATATTCTGGTCTCCGATTATGGCGATCACAGACTATATCAGTATAATACGCGAACTGGACTGTACATAAAAGAATTTGGAGAGTTTGATAATCCATTTGGACTTTCCATGGATGACAAAGAGCAAATTGTCGTTTCTGACTACAATAATAGTAGAATACAAGTTTTGGCTAAAGATGATGAGAATATTTTTACGTTTGGAGACATTGGGCCGGAACAACTCTTTCATCCTTTGAGCTGCGTTAATCATAAAAACCGATTCTTCGTGTCTGACTCTGACAATTACTGCATCAAAGTGTTCAACAAGGCAGGACAATTTTTATATAAATTTGGAAGCAAAGGAACGGCAAAGGGACAGTTTGTTAGACCTTCTGGTCTGTATATAGACAGGCACGATTGTCTTCTTGTATGTGACCAGGAAAGTGGCCGAGTTCAAAAGTTTTCTCTTGAAGGTCGTTTTATTGGCAAGTGCACTACTCCTGGGTTAGAGAACCTGAATGGCGTCTCAGAAATGCCAGATGGACGCATTCTCGTTACAAGCACAAATTATAAAAAAGTGTATATCATGATAACCAAGTAGTTACCCTTATCAATAGGGCCGTTTGTAGTAGTGAGTATTGTCGATTTTGAGTTGTTTTCCCAAGTCTGCTTTGTACCGGTAAATAGCCGTTAAAATAATAAAAAGACTGAAGGAAACTAAACCGAATTGAATTCAACAGTTTGTGAATAGTATAGGGTGTACTTCTCAACGACCTATCAATTTGAGTTTAGATTTTGCTCGCACGAAAATGAAAAACACGTTAAGTGATAGTAACTTTACGCCGAGTATTCGTCACCTGATTTGTTCAAAACTAAGGCAAATTACTCACAGAGTAACAATAAAAGAGTGTTAAACTTCACCATTTGCTGGTTTTCTTGAGCTAGCTTTATCTCTATCTTTAAATTTTCCTCACCATCAATTTCTGGATTCCATCTCTTTTTGAGGCAATCTCCTTCCTGCAACAGGTTCTGGTTTCATTCAGATTATTCCTTCCGTTCATTTCAATTTTTTTTAATTTTTGGGAGGGGCTGCGACCTCCTTTATATTTCCTACGAATGCCTTGCGTTCAGAGTGTAGCGAAATCCGCTTGACTCCTGCTTCGCGCACGCTTTTGCTGCACTGCTGAAAGGAAACGGAGGCTACTACCACGAAAGCTGACTAATTGGGCTTTTGATCCGGCACAGTGAGACATATCTAAAGCGGAAACCAAATTATTTACAAGTGACTTTCCTCTTATATCTGAGCAAGTAAGGGGAAGGTAATAGACCAATGTGGTACTGTAAATTTTCTTTCGAGGTTTGACGGTATTGAGCCATGAAGGTGGAAGATTAGTTAAGGTCATCTTGTTATGGTGAAGTTTGAACTTTTGACCACCTATCCTTTAATCTACTTTCATAAAACAATCTATCCCTTTTTTGTGCGTGAAGGGGACATGAGCTGAGAGAAGCTATCATTTCATACATGCCACTATTCAAACTATACATCTTTTTTAAATGCGATCTCGACACGCGGCTCACTAGGCGGTTATTTTAAGAACGAACCTTATACTCATGCGTAACCTGTTGACCGGATGTGATGATTTCATTGATTGACGGAACTAAAAGGACCCCTCGGTATCGCACTCAATGCGGAAGGAACTATGGCAGTGTCAGATTTTTATGGCCACAGCGTTTATGTATTTGACAGCGAAGGAACCTTTCTGCGAAAAATCGGCCAATTTAAACAACCTGTCGATGCCGTTTTTGTTAATGATGAAGAAATTCTGGTCTCGGATCATGGCGATCACAGAATATATCAGTATAATACTCGAAGTGAACTGTTCATAAAAGAATTTGGAAAACCTGGTACAGGAAAAGGAAAGTTAAAAAATCCACTTAGACTTTTCATGGATGACAAAGAGCAAATTGTCGTTTCTGATTACAATAATAATAGAATACAAGTTCTGGCTAAAAATGGTGAGAATATCTTTACGTTTGGAGACGGTGGACAGGAAAAACTCCTTCATCCTTTGAGCTACGTTAGTCATAAAAACCGATTCTTCGTGTCTGACTCTGACCATTACTGCATCAAAGTGTTCAACCAGACAGGACAATTTTTATACAAATTTGGAAGTAAAGGAACGGAAAACGGACAGTTTGTTAGACCTTCTGGTCTGTATATAGACAGGCACGATTGTCTTCTTGTATGTGACCAGGAAAGTGGCAGATTTCAAAAGTTTTCCCTTGAAGGTCGTTTTATTGGCAAGTACACTACTCCTGGGTTAGAAAACCTGAATGGCGTCGCGGAAATGCCAGATGGACGCATTCTCGTTACAAGTACAAAGTCTAAAAAAGTGTATATCATGATAACGAAATAGTTACCCTTATCAATAAGGCCGTTTTTAGTAGTGAGTATTGTCGATTTTGAGCTGATTTTCCAAGTCTGCCTTGTACCGGTAAATAGTCGTTAATATGATATGAAGACTGAAGGAAACTAAACCGAGTTGAATTCAACATTTTAGAGTGAACTATCAACGACCTACCAATTTGTCTTCAGATTTTTCTCACACAATAATTAAAAACACGTTAAGCGATAGTAATTTTATGCCGAGTATTCATCACCTGATTTGTTCAAAACTAAGGAAAATTACTCACAGAGTAACAATAAAAAGAGTATTGCACTGCTGAGAGGAAACGGAACTAATGCCACGAAGGCTGCCTAATTGGGCTCGTGATCCTGCACAGTGAGACATCTAAAGTGGAAACCAAACTATTTATAAGTGACTTTCCTCTTAGACTATTCTGGCATACAAATTGAACACTATAAATTTTCTTTCGAGGCTTAAGAGTATTGAGCCATTAAGGTAGAAGATCAGTTATGGTGAAGTTTGGAATTTGACCATCTATTCTTTACTCCACTTTTATGAAAAACACTCTATCCCTTTTTATGCGTAAAGGGGAAACGAGCAGAGAGAAGCTATAATTTCATACATGCTCTTGTTAAAAATATTTTTTTAATCCAATCTCGACGCGCGGTCTCATTAAGCGGCTATTTCAAGAACTAACCTTATATCTCATGCTTAACCTGTTGTGCTGATGTGATGATATTCATTGATTGACGGGTTCGTGTGAAAAAGCACATCGTCGTACTGTCGATAGCTGGATTTCTCCGCTTTAGACAGTGTGGTTGTTTTCATTTTGTGGTCTCATGGCCACTCAAAGGTTTTTCACTTTCTGTTGATTGACCTTTGCGATCACTTAGGTTTTTGTTTTACGATGTTCAGTCGAAGAGCTGATTTTATTCGGTCTATAGGATTAACCCTTTAACTCCCATGAGTGACTAAGACACAATATTTCACCTTAAAATATCAATACAATATCAAGGAGACAAGTGATGAGAAAAAAAGAAAAACATTCAGTTAGGGGATTATTAGTTGATCCAATACCAAATTCTCCAAACTAACATCAAGAGAACTAAATGGCAGACAGGAAGGAGAATTACTAATGAGATCTTGGGAGCTGAAGGGTTAAAGGGGGTCGATTTAGTGTGAGGGGGTGTACTACGTGTTCGATTATTTTTGCTTTGGAATAACTTTCTTTCTCATTTTTTCAATGCATTTTTCATTATCTTGGATTTGTCCAGGGTCTTTTTGTCCATTGCCTAGGGTCTTTTTCTAGGTTACGAAGTCGCCATGAAGACTTTTTAGCTGGATTTTACAGGAATAAGGCGGAGAAAAATGTTCTGGATGTTTTAACACTTCAACTGACCAGCTTATCGCACCTCACTTTCCCTCAGACATTGAAATTGTGGCTCATCGAAAGATGATGCTCATTGTGATTTGCAATGAAATGCTCCTAACTAGTGACATAGACTTTGCAAAGACCATTGAGGAGAGTTTATGTCGGTTTACGTCAGTGTTTTAAATAGTCATTCCTGGAGTTGCCCTGATAAAGTTATCATATCTTATCTTCTCTCTAATATCACACAAGTGATCTATCAGTCAAGAAACTAACTTCCTTGTGTTGAGGGGATCTCTGCAAACCTCGTTATGACGCCGAGGTAAAAGCAAGTGTCTTCCACATTGTGTAGCTGGATTTATCTATGTACACTCCGGTCTGCAGTTTTGGTTTGTATTTACGCGGTGTGTGATATAGACTGAAAGGATTCTGGGACCGATAGATTGGAAATAAAAGCTGGTTTCTATATATCAAATGTCTCACACAATAAAGGAGTTTATTCTCCCTCTCTCGTTAAATGGAGAATGCCAATACTGATGTTAGGGTGTAAAGGGTTACTGCTGCAAATGCGGCCCTTTCCGCTTATTGAGAAGCGATTTAGAGAAAAAAAAAATTTGTGTGGTCCACGCAAACAAGTCATTAACATATGGAAAGGACACAAAACGAATTATACACGTGCCGGAAGTTGTTGACGGAGTTTCAGTTTCTGAGGACACACGTTACAATTCGCTTTTGTATCGAAAACAACTTCCTGTTTATGACTCTACGTACAATACTTTCTGAAAACGTTAGTCGTGGAACGAAAAAAAAAGTGACGAGTTTATCATCGGTGATTGAACCAGTTAGGTGATGCAAATAATAGTTTGTTCTATTCTGAGTTGTTCTATTCTATTCCTGTATATGGAGCCAGAAATTATGGAAATAATTGTGTGTTTGTTTTGAGCCAGGCTTTAGTTTTTTTTTCCTTTCTACTAAAAATGCAAGCACTTCTCCCCTTTTACCCTTCCTTCCTTCTTACCCTGCTGAAGATAATTTGGATTCCAATTCTTTGTACAGTGTGTTGAGTATAAAAAAAATTTAAAAAATAAAAAAATTCCTTAGTGACCGCTCACTGTTTATCGCCTGAGAGGGGAAGAAGGCTGAAGGACATTTTGGGGGATCACATGGTTTTCAGGGGAAATGAAAGGGGAATCAATCTTCTCTAACGGGAATTTATGGGAGGGGGGGGGCTCTAGAAACCTGACTTCCAGTGAGGGGGAATCAACAAAGCCTTATGGAAGATCAGAAATATTTTATTGTGACAGTTCAAAATCCTCCGACCACCCCCCCACCCCCCCCCCCCCACTCTGCTCAGGCGAGAAATAATGTACAGTACCTTACAAGTTAAGCTAAAAAACCTTAAGTTTTGAATTTAAATTCCGTCACAGGGACTGGATAGAAGAGTGCAAAAATTAAAAAATAAAGTGATAGTGTCTGGACTTCGTTCTTATTGTTTATGTTTAATTGATCTACTTGAGATTTGCATTCCAAATCAAAAGAAGTCGGTTCCGTTTCAGCGTAAAATAATTACCGTCCATGAACGAGGCCCCGGCTTGACTGCACGTTGTGAGATTTCCGTGGTTGCACCACACTATTATTTCCAATCGATGATAGCTGAAGCATAACTGAGCCTGAATTGCCCACAAACCCCAAAATAAATTTCCTCTACGTTTAGTGTTCGTGTTAAAATCTTAGCTCTCTGACTAGGCACAAAACGTCACAATAACTGGAGGGTCTTACCACCTTTGATTGCTCCGAACTTTGAAGCCGAGGGACCCAGCGCCCCTATTATCCCAGCATTCCCTTCGGGTAAGAATAAAACATGGCCTGAGGCGTGGCTACCAAGGGGTTATCATCATCGCTTTTTTAGAGCAAGCGGAAGGTCTGGAGCATTTGAAGTAAGAGTGTCACAACCTGTTCTCCAGTGAACTGGATTTTTGCGATCCCATACGGCATTCTACGATGAAAGATGTCACTGAGGCCTCGAGTTGTGAATTTTGACGAAACATGGGCTAAGATCCGAGAAACATTAGAATCTGTTGTAACTTTGAAGAAGATTCCACGATCAGTTTGGAATGACAGGTTTTCATATCCTTTTGCTTCAATTTCGCGATGACATTCCGTTTGTTATGAATTACACACATATTGCAGAATCAAGATTTGACAAGGAGGATCTTAACTTGCTACCAGGTTTTTTCTCTCCTTAAATGGCGTCGCAGCAGTCGCCGCATTGCAATAGCAACCGATATTAATTTTGATACATCAGTTAAGTGCGATAGAACCATAACTGCGATTGTCACATACCGGAAAAAGAGGAAATTTCCTTTATCACGTCCATCATTTGTCTAAGAAGCTTCTATATCGTGTGTGATTTAATTTGATGTGCTTTCGCGTCGTAACTTCGGTGTGAGATTTTGATACAAAAGTTCGCATAATTAATATCAGATACCAAACAGTGACAATTTTACTATCGTGATTCTCTTTTAAGTGATAATGAACTTTATACCTACAATGAGTGGCAATAGTTTTCGCACGATCAGCAGCTTTGGACATTTTTTTTTTAGCTTCCATTTTTATTTCCCTCTCTTTCATCTGAATGTTGCCAGCTGATAAAAAAATGGTCCCTTCTTTATTTCAACATTGTTGGGAGGGGGAGGGGGGGACAGGTAGGGGTGCAGAAAGATTTCCGTGTAAGGCAAAACAAAACCTTAATCACAAAGCTCATCTGCTGTTGGCACTACTGTATTCTTTTTTCAAAGAACTGAAGAATGGGTTTATTTAGAAACCTTGCTGGGTGACTTTCACATGACCA